AAACTTGCTTTTTCTAAAAGCTTGTTCTCTACCCATCTCTTGCAAAATGTGAGCATATCTTGCCTGGCAAACGCTGGTTAACTCTTGTGTTCATTTAGAAGTAAACACCACTAAAAAATGTGTAGAATTTGTTAATTGTAAAATGCCTACGGCTACATGTATCTCAGTGAGCTCTTGACAAATTTGTGTCAAATTTTGTAAACAGTCCCAGATGTACATGTAACTATCTAACTGTCAAATTATTTTTTTGCCTTGTTAATTATATATTACTTGTTGAAACAGATTTTATCACCAATCTGTCCATGTAGTCATGTACTGTATGTCTAATGTATATTGAAATCTAAAAACAACACAAATTTAATAAATTTACTTTAAAGAGTACATAAGGTGAAAAACCTTATATAGCCAGTGGTTACTATACATGTATGCACTTTATGGCAAGTTAACATCAATCTGATTATAATTAAATCAGCTTTTTTCACTCAAAGTCGCAAATGTAGACCTCCCATAATAACGACTTTGCAAATTATCGGAAACACTCTTAATCAACGCCCAGGCAGGGGTGCACAATTTCACTTTTGAACCACTAGCCCATGGGCAGGTTTCATGACAAAATTTGCTAGCCCTACAGAAAAATACACCTGCCCTGAATATAAAAATAAGGTTGTTTTGTTTTTAATTTTTATTAATGACTAAACATAAAAATAATAAAGTAACAAATATTTAAGCATCAAAATGTTCCAATACTGTCTCAACCTATCCATATTATCATCAATAATGTATTGGATGTTATAATTGTAATAGACAGCAACAACCATAAATGGAAGGATAAAAAGGAAAAAAATATCAGAAAAAGTTTGTGTTGTTCTATCAGTCGTTTTTATAGCTATGGGTTCAAATTACCCTTGCAAACTCGTTTTTTCTCATTCAAGCGTATGCTGTATTGAAAATCAAATATTACAATACAAGATAACTAAATTAAACTATACAATATCAGTGCTGTCTCAAAAATGCCTATTAACTCAGTCAAATAACTATAGCCTTCTTTCGGATCATGCGATTTACGGACCACTATGACACAATGTCATTCAATCTACCGGTACCTCTCAATATAGTTAACATTTTTCACATTTCTGCCTACAAAAAGTATATTTTAATCAGAAAATCAATGATTCGTTTGGAAAATCAAAGTGTGGGTATACATAATTTGTGAAACAGGGATAATTCTAACAGTACCACCGGTCGTGTGGAAAAGTGAGCGAGAAGACACGTGATGTAAAAACGCTATATTATTACGGCGTTTGCAATCTTCGTGAAATGAACACTTGGGAGTTAATAACAGTATTTATTGCTATTTATTTATCATTAAACAATAAAAAGCCGTGAATGACAATAAAAGGAAGACATATTTTCACAATATACATAGAGAAAACAAAATTGCGGTATCTTCGGTAGGGAATGTTGTCATTCGACAATACTCGTTAATTTTAGAAAAGTTATTTTTAGTACTGGAAGCTATTACCGGTAGAACTATCGTGTGCTTAGTAAGTTATTCTGACTGAAATTAGTCTATTCGGCTATTATTATTGCGCGGACTGGAACTAAAATGCTTTAAATAATCACAAAGTATTGTTCGATCACGAAGTATTGTTCAATTCCAAAGAATTTCTGTCAGAGAAAATTGGCCTGTCCGCGGGCGGACGGAATGTGAAATTTCAGCTGTCCAACAGAAAAATTAACCTGTGTTGGGCATGGGAATTGTGCACCGCTGCCCCCAGGTGCCAGTGACGTCACAGTGACCAAATGCATATTAGGAATGTTTATTCCTTAATTATCTATATACAGCCGGTGTGTGTATTCATTAAAGCCTGACTGATTCCTTAATTCACAAATTAAATAAAACAATTGACTGGGGAATAATTTATTTTAATTTAAGATCCAATTTAGAATTTGTTTTATAACGTTTTGCCCTCTCTTCTCACGATAGTGATTTTAAAACTGTGTTTTTAAGTGACTTTTTGATAGATTCCCTCTACTATCGTGTGCAGTCCAAAATTTGAGATACATTTCCGTCAGAAGAGTATTGTGGTTCTAATTTCCCCAAGTAAAAGAGTACAGGAGTAAAAAGATGTGGTCATGCAAAATGTATCATAAAAGTCAAACATGATCGAAACGCGATTGGTAAATGACGATCCGTTATCAGAGTAGCCAACTGTATCTCGTTTTCCTGTAGCCATCATACGGCGACTTTCTTTCTGAATGTGGATTTGACTTCATTACTCTGAAGTAGAACATAAAAATGAAATACGAAAAAATATCTCAATATATGTTAGAATTAACAGTACAAATATATTTTGTTGGTAACCATCTAAATCAATTAACAACAGATTGAGAAGGGTCATCTAACTATCTTTGTGTATTGATAATAAAGTGCCAAGTATAGTGTCAATGATATCTGTTATTAATCAATCCATTTAAAGTTGCACAGACATGGGGTCATAAATTAATTTACACCTCAATGTGGAATTAAGAATGCTGATAAGGTAATTATCTTTTTTTAGCCGGCCAGATTAAAGATTTCACTCTAGGTGGAACTTATAAGGGTACCCTACGAACAAACAAAAAAAAATTATGAGGGAACTTTTCTACAAACTTTTCTCCACACCACTACTAATCATTGAATCGACAACACGTTAGTTGTTTATAATTATTATTTACCCAATAATCAATTAGCTTTGTTCACTCTAAAATAATCACATTTGTCTAATCTATATCCAACCTTGTATGTTTTCTCCAGGTCCTCCGGTTTCCTCCCACTGCTAAAGACCCCTATGCGCAAGCGAATTATTGAAATAGATTTTTTAAAAAACATGTTAGTCCCGAAATGACCTAGTTTGTGTCGAGTGGATGTTAAACCCTATTTCTCTCTCTCTCTGTCTAATCTATAACAATGCAAGACGATAATTTGGTGATTATGATTAGGCCAGTCACGTGTTAATTGGACGGTCAATAGAACATTGTCAACTGGTGGCGTGTAGATAGACAGTGATATATTGTACAGACAGTGGGGGGATCACGTGGCTAAGTGGGTAAGACGCTAGCTCGCTAGCCTGGAGGTCGGGTGTTCGATCCCTGCATTGGCCGAGAAAGTTCATCCAGATTTTCCGGCGTGGTTCTCCCTTGTCAGTGATGCAGGACGGAGGAGCTGACAAGGAAAGCTGTCTAGTCGTTCGGATGGGACGAAAAACCGTGTACACATTGGCGTGCACGTAAAAGATCCATTGGCAGTTGGAATTCGATATAAGAGTAGGCCGTAGTGCCGCTGTCCGGGCAAAATTTCCCTCATAGCACACTGTATGGCGTATGCCCGTCTTCATTAGCCCAGGTTAGGAGCAGAACAGTAGGAAATTAAACTCCATTTCATTTCATTTCATGTACAGACAGTGATATATTGTATTGATAATGTACATTGTATACTATGTGTAGTCCCTGTGACGTCACCAGCCAATCAGCCAGATTAAGGTCGTAATTGAAAAGCGTTCTGGGGTGTTGGATACTTAAACGTTAATAGCCAAATTAATTTTATTCAGAAGCAGATCGGTGTGAACTTGCTATACATGTACGTACCGAAAAGTTTTTTTCGACCATGTTATGTCCACTTTAAATCACAATTTTGTTGGATTTTACATGCAATTTTTATACGCCCACATTTTCATGTTAACACGCATGAAGTCACAATTTGTATTCCATTTTAAAAACTGCTGGACCAAATAGCGGCCCCTTTGTGCACAAGTACATGTAGTGTAAAAGTATGTATACCAACATTTTGGACACCCTAGAAGTCACAATTTTTATCTGATTTTGATTAAACTTGAAATATTTGATTATAATACAAAGATCTTGGTTCCTTTCAATATTTGCGCATGTTGGACCGTAACTTCCTGGACCATGGCCCCTGATCGTACGAAAAATCACGTTTTTAGCTTGTGGACCCTCTAGAGGTAACAATTTTTATCCGATTTTACAAAATGTTTAAATGTATCCCCGTTACACCCTAATGACGATTGAGTTCGAATTTTGTGAAAATTGAACCAAAACTGCCTGACAAAATGGCTGCTCTTTGTATGCAAATAGTATAAAACTATGTACTTGTAATACCAAGGTTGTGGACCCTCTAGAAGTCACAATTTTTATCTGGTTTTGATGAAACTTAAAATATATCTTTACATGGTACCCCAAATATCTCAGTCCATTACAAATTTCGCGGATTATGACCCTTGATTCAAAAAATCACTTTTTTTTTAGCTTGTTTTCCATCCATCTCTTGCAAAATGTAGGCGTATCTTGCCTGGCAACCACTGGTTAATCTTATCTATTTATCCTGTAAATTTGGTTTAAAAAAAATTGCCTCTTTCTAAAGATTTTTGCAAAAGAATTAATCTGTCACTGTTCAGTGTAAACTTCTGTTGACTGAACCATTTACATGTAACTATCAGTATTTTAATCGTAGTCGGAGCAGTTATAATATGTTGATTTGCAAACTGTATCACTCAGCCACATACATACATGTATATTAGAATCTGGAAATGGGTTCACAATTCAGTGGAATGCAGTCAACTCATTGATTTCTCTACTGAATATCACTGTGGTCCTAATTCGATTGGTTTGTCAAAAATGTTTCAAAGATTAGATAGTGCCAGAAGAGAACTAGTCATTTCAGCAAGCATAAGTTATTTTGATTGAACTACACTTTGAGTGACAACTTTTTTCCTCCTCACAACCATTTATTTTGGTTCAGAAAGCGAACTAGTATTTCATTCTATTTGATCAAGTACATCCAGTCTGTTCAGATGTACATGTACATGTAATACTGCCCTCTGAAACCGCTAAGACCAAAAGCCATAACCTGTAGGTAGAGCCATGAAGCACTGAAAATATTATTAGCTTGTTTAAACTGAATTCTGTGTTGTATGGATAAATAAATATTTTGTGTTTTTCAGATGTCTGGAGTTTAGGTGTTATATTATTTATGTTAGTATGTGGTACCCCACCATTTCAGGAAGCTAATGATAGTGAAACATTAACAATGATTATGGATTGTAAATATAAAGTACCTAGTTCCATTTCCACAGCTTGCCAACAGTAAGTACATGTAACAACTTCTACTCAAAACCGTTATGAAAATTGGGTTAGCTTGTACGAAAATTATAAAATTGTTATTACTTTATTTATCTCAGACACATAGAGATGATGGTGTGAAATTATTTGTGAAAATCACATTGAAACAAAACTTTTCACAACCAGCGAAGATCTTAGATGTATTTTTAAAAAAAGAAGGATTTTTCTTTTAGTTGAATTTTCTTGCAGGACCTTTAGTGTAGAAGCTTAATACATTGAACATGAACAAATATTGATCAGAAAATGACAATGATCTTATAAATCTGAATATGTATTTATTATCTGATGTTGTTTTACATGTATGATAAATGTGTAACTGTCTTTTAGATTATATCTGTTTCTATTTTTACAACTGTTGTTGTTTATTTGTGATCTGTGATAGAAATAAAATACATTATTCCCAAGTCAACAAAACATAGAGGAAGAACAATTATACTGTAAAGATAGAAATTTAGTTAAATGTGAGGCGTGTGCTATCAACATTATTAGAGGTGCAGAAAAATACCTGTATACCATTATTATACACAGTACATGTATATAAATCACAGAATTTTATAATTTGTAACATATTTAAAAGCTTCATATCTACATGTACATGTATCTCAGATCATAGTCATATTATTGCTTTTCATAATTTCATTCACAAAGTTTATATTAGCTTATCTTATATGTAAGTATAATTGAAGGGTGTATTGTGCTCTGCCTTTTGAAATGTGGGCGTATAAAAAGTTAATAGTCCAATTGACTAAGATGAAGAAACCTATTGATTTTCAACGATTTCTGATAATTACTGCCAGAGTTATGGCCCTTGATCACTTTGAAAAATCTTGTGGATGCTCTAGAGGCTAAAGTTAATGTCCGATTGACTATAAATTTATCCACAGTGTTTAAGGTCATCAGGTCATGATTTTATATTTATACACCGTGTTTACGCCTACATGTATATATAATCGTTTTGATTGACTTATTGATACACAGAGTTTAAGCTCTTGAGACGAACAAGTATATTGATTTTCAATGATTTTTGATAATTTGAACAGCTAAATCCATGATATAAAATGTTTTGTACACTAAATGTTAGCATGGGCCAAACAAATCCCATTTCATTTCATTTAATCAGATGAAATATAAATGTTTCATTACCGACAACAGTAAAATATGCAACAACTCTTGTTGACTGCCCATACGATTTAGCTGCTGTAGGTGTATGTTTCGTTGCCTGGCAACCTATAATCATGTAGTTATTATAGTTTATTTTTCTACATGTACTAAGTTACTAAATGGCACTTAAAGAATATAATAGACAATCAGTTTGATTGCTTGATACTTTTCAAAAAGATACATGTGCAATTAATTAATATCATTTATTTATTTTGGGATTGCGGTGGGCGACATCAGTCTGACTGTTGGCTTGTTAGGAAACATACAGTACTGATAGTCATTTCTTTTACTCGTGGTCTAGTAAATATTATCCCTGGACATTCTCAGATCGGAATACCATGGTAATATAACGGTACCTTTCCAAGCTTACAGTTACAGTATACGTAACTACAGTCACTGCAAGTACTCATAGTTATTGGTGTAAAATGCTTCATAGTAGTAACAGTACACAAAGGCAGTTTTTTCCTGATAATGATAAAACCTAGTAGTGTTACAAAGAAAAACAATTTGAGTTTAAGTCATTGTGATACAATGGTCAAGCAAGAATGGTGTTTTAACATATTAACTCTTTTGTTAACAGAAATTGTTGTATGTTCGTAAAAAAAATCTACAAAAGATTTGGTTTACAAGGCATATGTGTAGTGTTGGTGATTGACATAAACAGGTGAAGAATAGTGTACTGAGACCAGCTTTATACAAGACTATTTTTGTGTTGTAGAGAGACTTATTAAATGGGTCTTAGAAGTTACATTACAAACATGGACCATTAAATGGTAGCTTAGTTGTGTCCAATCTAACTGTATATTGACTGCTACCTTGTGATCAATATCCATTCCGAACTATTGATTTTATTTATTACATGAATCTATTATTTGATGTGGTAGACCAGGCAGAAATTGAACGAATAATGTATTCAGGAAACGAGCAATGTTGGTAACTTGCATTGTCTTAACTGTCTTTTGACATTTTGGCAGTGCATAGAATACATGTATCAGTGAATATCACTCTTTGCGCAACACGACTAAATTACTATAACATCTGGAGATCTGTGGCTACACCATGGCTTTCATTTCAGTCATTAGAAATTGGTTGGCTGGATAAATTACATATTGCATGCTTACCTGTCAGTCAATTTAGAATTTCAAAGACTTTTCTAACACAAATACAATTGGAAATCTGTAAAATGGGGGGAAGGGAGGGGGGCGCGGGGGTATCTGTTCCACCCCCTTTGTATACTTTTCACAATAAATACAGTTAACACATTGAATGCTGATACCAAATTTCTGGACCATGTAATTTGACTATGTGTATGTATAGTATTTGGGCACTGCATAAGCAGTATAATATTATACCGAGGCTCATTCTTTATATCTGGAGGTAACAAACAAACCCTAGATAGAACAGGTCATATTGATTTTCCAAGTCATAGTTCAGCACTGGGGAAAGATATATCAAGAATTGACCTTCACCAGTTGGCAAAATTTTAAAGTGAAAGCCATGGTCTATACAAATGTACATTATACATATACGTTTACTGCACTCATCAAACCAGACCTAAATTGTATGATGTCAGACAAAATTATGTCATTGTTGATGCTGTTGAACTATGTTGAATCGAGTACATCTTATGTTTTAATGATGTATGTTCTATTGATCATAGATGCCAAGATGGTCAAATTTATGGAACTGCATTCATATCTTGTAGGATGATAGTTATTAGTGGGTTTATCATTTCAAGATCTATAGGGTGGGTGATGTACATGTAAGGTAGAAACTACTAACGAGGCTAATTGATCTAGAAAGACTAGTTAATTTATGTTTATCATGTAAATATGATGGTCAGGTCTGTAACCATATATTAGCTTTACACAGGGTCATTGTTCTCTTGCAGACTTGCTTTTTTTTTTCTTTTTTTTTTTTTTGCAGTCAATATGATGTCACAAAATATGATACATCTACACATTTGATCAATATTGTTCACGAGTATGTATTTGTGGGCGATACACATGTATTTCAGTTTTTGATACCTTGCTTGCCACAAGCAAATAAATTTGATCAAATGTGTAAAGTTTGTGAGATTAGTTATCATCAATTGGATTTTGTCCACTCGAATGATGTATTTTGGGTCATTGATAATCTTGGTAAGGGGGTACATAGAATTTTATAAAAAACCTAGAACTTAAACTTAGAAGAATATCGCAAAAAAAAAATGCTCCAAATTTTCAAGACAACTAAACAGTTTGTACTGCATTTCTTTTTGGAATGCTAACGTCCCCTCCAGTTTCCCAGTAATATAAAAATCATTAGCAAATCTGAGTTCTTGTGGTTAATAGTTAATATCTTTATGCATGTAGTTCACATTCCTCACATGGATTACATGTACATCTAAAATGTTTTTGTTTGTAATTATCTCTTAAAGAGGTATACTGGTTTGTTTAATATTGATTTGTTTGATTTCAGTACTTGCATGTATGTACAATACATGTATTTAGGTTTCAAGTTTTGTTTGATTTCAGTACTTACTGTACATGTATGTACACTATTTAGGTTTCAAGCTTTATTAAGATGAGAAATTATTTGTAAATGTTTTTATTGCAGATTAATATCAAGAATGTTGATTAGAGAGCCATCAAAGAGAGCTAATCTAGGTGAAATATTAAATAATCCATGGTTAGCGTATGGTTTAGAATATGGCGTGGATTACATGCCGTCAAATGTACCTCTAATATCTAGAGAACATATCTCGGACGAAGATCATGATTATGTCATACAAAAAATGGTGGAAGGAAAAATAGGATCTAAAGATGAAATTCTAGAGTATGTATTATTTTAATATTTTTATTATAGAATCATGTTACCACATCATTTTGTCATTATCATCATTTTTTCTATCATCAAATGGCTAATGAGACGAAGAAGACATTCCCATAATTAATTAGTTTCTTATAGACACTGGCTAATTTTACCGTCAAAGACATAATGTTTTATTCTGAAGTGTCAGTCATGACTAGTGATAATACTGATCAGTGATATAGCAGCCCTCAAAATTAGGATTTTTCAGAGAAGTCAGAAAATGACATAGACACAAATTTTTGTTTTTCTCTCTCACCTAATTCACAAATGTTTGTTCATTCGCACATTTAGATGATACATCTGTCATCTACTATATCTTATGGATAAAAACAAAAGATGTTGCAGTTCAACTTTCACAACGGTTTGACAATTTTTTGGGGTGTGCAACATGCAGCAATTTGTGAACTTTTCAAACTTAATTTGGGCTCAAAAAAGTTAAAGTAGAATTTGGTTAAACTGATGCAAATCAGTTTTAAATTTGATTTGCAATTCAGAGTGTTTGAGTCATGAATTGCTATGTGAAATTACACAGTTAAATTTTTACCTGGTTGTGTTGTCTGGCAACTTATGTTTCTTTATTCTATCAGCAGACATGGTTATAAATTGTATTTGAAATCTGTATGTGATGTGTAACTGTGTAGGAAGGTTGTTATTGTCAGTGAAAATCATTTCTCTAGACATGTAATTACCTGCACCTGGAGGCGATATGTCTACATAATCTCAGTGTAAAGACCATGCTTGTAATTGTGTGGAAAAATGAACCATTCCAAGCTACAGTGATAAATGAAAGCATCACTTAAAGAATAAAAACTTTGAATTCTGCAATACATTTCTTCACATAAGATCATTTGAGTAATTTTGGGTCCTGCAAGTTGATAACAGAATAGATAAATTAAAGTCATTAGTCTTCTCTTAATGCTTTACATTCATAGATTTTTCTACTGTCAAACACATATTAAGAAGCTGCATGATCTTATAAGTATTTTAATATTAACTACACAATATCCCAAGCTTTAAATTTGTAGCTTTCACGTACATGTATCAAGAAAATGACACATGAGGAATAAAACAGTTTAGGAGAATATTTCGGCCTCTGTAGATATAATTTTATTATTTATAAATCACTGATAGAGTAATTACAATCATGGGATGTTTACATGAGTTGCCTTATATCCAAATAGTCTATCAGATTGAGTCGGAAATTCAGATGATGCTATCACAACTTGTTGATTTAAACACCACATATTTATGCAAACAATCACAGATTGTCATTAAAAGATACATTCCATAAAAGTATTTAGAGGGTAGTTATTTCCAATAAATGTATGACATATTTGGATGGGAAGTACAGACACTAAAATTTACTAGAAAAATACTGGATTCCCTGAAAAACATCCATAGGGTGCCCACAGGACAAAAATGTAAGGTTGTCCTTTACTGGCAGTCTGTCTCCTAGAGTGGAAGTGTTTTTATACGGCCACATTGAAATTTGGTCGTATATTGTCGTCGCCCCCGTCCGGCGGTCCAGCCTCCACAATTGCTTGTGGACGCTCTAGCGGTCAAAGTTAATATCCGATTGACTTTAAATTTATACACAGTGTTTAAGGTCATGAGACAAAGAAGCCTATTGATTTTCAGCGATTTCCGATAATTACTGCCAGAGTTATGGCCCTTGATTGCTTCAAAAAATCTTGTGGACGCTCTAGAGGTCAAAGTTAATATCCGATTGACTTTAAATTTATACACAGTTATACACAGTGTTTAAGGTCATGAGACGAAGAATCCTATTGATTTTCAGCGATTTCCAATAATTACTTCCAGAGTTATTGCCCTTGATCACTTCAAACAATCTTGTGGACGCTCTAGCGGTCAAAGTTAATATCCGATTGACTTTAAATTTATACACAGTGTTTAACGTCATGAGACGAAGAAGTCTATTGATTTTCAGTGATTTCCGATAATTACTGCCAGAGTTATAGCCCTCGATCACTTTGAAAAATCTTGTGGACGCTCTAGAGGCTAAAGTTAATACCCGATTGAGTTTAAATTTATACACAGTGTTTAAGGTCATGAGACGAAGAAGTTTATTCATTTTCAGCGATTTTCGATAATTACTGCCAGAGTTATGGGCCTTGATCACTTAAAAAAATCTTGTAAATGCTCTAGAGGCTTAAGTTAATATCCGATTGACTTTAAAGTGGTACAGAGTGTTTAAGGTCATGAGACGAAGAATCATGTTCATTTTCAACTGCCAAAGTTATGGCCCTTGATCACTTTGAAAAATCTTGTGACCCCCTAGAAGCTAAAGTTATCATCCGATTGACTTCAGATTCATACACAGAGTTTAAGGTCTTGAGATGAACAAGTATATTGATTTTTCAATAAATTTTTATGACTTGAACAGCTAAATCCATGATGTTAAAAGTTTCCTATACTAAACGTTAGTATGGGGCAAAACTTTATAAAAACCAAACAAATTCTAATGGTTTTCTGATAATTACTTAATGAGTTGTTACTCTTAATTAGATTTTAATGTATTATAAATGTTTCATTACCAAAAAAAGTAAAAATATGTGACAACTCTTGTTGACTGCCCGGACGATTTAGCTGCTGTGGGCGTATGTTTCGTTGTCTGGCAACCTATCTTTTATGTGTTGATTTAAATGTAATTGTTGTGAGAATTGAGAGATTTCAATATCCAGTAGACTCTGAGATTAAATGGTGGAAAAAGAAGTTAGCAGAGGATTCATTTACTTCCAGGCTTCAATATTTGTGGTAAATGAACAGCAACTACTGACAAATAAAAGTTGAAATGGATCCTCATCCCCAATCAAGTCATGTGACAAACAATTCTTCTTAAAATAAATTCTTGCTGCATGGGATAGTTTGTTGGGATTAATTGTTTTGAGAGGGATTTGAAGCAACCATTTGATAGATAGATTAGTTTGAATTTGTTTTTAGTCCAAATATATCATCAAATCACAAAGTTTTTCCATGGGAAGGCATCTTCAATATGTACATGTAGGCATTAGACTGAATAAAACAGATTGTAGCTAGTTAGAAAGAATTAAGCTCCTAGGTATAGGGCACTGTAGACGTGTTAATTAGATTTTCTTTTGTTACATGTATCTCCTACTATTGCTGCATCAGAATTACATGTTTTTCAAATTAATTTTTAAAAGATAAAATTCCTTTATTTGATTCCTGGTATGATAATAAAATACATGTGAAATAGATTTGATAGATTTGTTATTCGAGTGGTTGGTAATTTATCTATAGATATTAGACAGTATTAGCATATGTTATAGGGGTAGATAACTTTATTTATCTTGGCATACACTACTATCACTTACTACTTTCTACATACATTTTAAACATTCACAACTTTTATATATAGTTTAACCGACATTTTTAATTTGAAGCAATGATAGAAAATGAATATTACCAGTATTGGTAGTATGCCAAGGATAAATGTTTAAAATGCTGAGCCTGAGCATAGATGGATAGATTAGGAAAATTAATTTCAATCTTTTCAATTTACCACTCTTTAATATGTTGTTTAATGATTTCTGAATCACTAATAAAATGATCATCATTTAAACATGCATTATGCAAGAGCAAACTCTGCTTACAAGTCTTTCTTTAGGCCAGAAATGTTATCTAAATTATCAATTAGACATTAATTAACTTATCCAGACCATAATAAACTCTCGATGTCAAGGCTAGCCTTCGATGTTGGCTGGATTACACTACAGTGGGGTGTTTCGCGGTTTGTTATTCAAACCGGCCTGTACATTATACATGTACACGTTTCCCGGGAGCCTTAATTTATTATAGACAATATTAGTTCGACCCTAGCTTAAGGTAAGCTCGCGAATTCCTTGTCGGAAGCACGGCAAAACACGATGTATTCTTATCGAAACACGGTGAATTCCTAGAGAAACACGGTGAATTCCTAGAGAATCTTAGAGAAAAATCGCTGCGGAATCAAGCGAAATTTCACTGTGAAATCTAAGAGAATTCCGAGAGTTTTTTTTCACCGCGCCGTGGCGATTTCGGTCCAAAAAATTTGGGAGGAACTGTAGATTCCTATATGCCGCTTAACGGCCATTGATAATTAAATCAAAACAGTGGATAATCGAGACTATGCTGTTTATAGCCTATTAATGATTTTAGTAAAATGGATCAATTTGACTGAAATTTTCAGCATATTACCATTACACTATCTAGTTTTTAACTATTATAGCGAGAACTGCCATCTCTTTATCTTATCTCCCATAATGTATCTGTAATGGTAGTTGATCTTTTCTCCAGTTATCAATCGTCATCTGTATGAGTTTATGTCGCTTAAAATTACCACTCAGTTTTATTCCTATTTCCATAATTCTTCTGAAATGATAATTTCTATAAATGTAATGCAAATATTATGAACATTGGTACACATGCATTACCAACTTTAAAGAGAATGTTCAAAGGATTTAATATGCAATTGCAAGAATTATTATAACTGTTTGATTGAAATAAAAGGGACAGAAATATTTTGTTTAGATAATATATGTGTGTAAGAAAATACAGGAGTTAGCACTGACATTAACAGTGTAATAAAAGTATATTGCATTGTATCATATTGTATGTTTATAGTTTGTGTACCTAGTACCCATATAAATTGTTGTACATAATAATGTTGTACTGTGTGTATTGATCCAAGTCCAAAAATAGAATACATACACAATACTGTGTATGGGTCTAAGGCTACATGTATATTAATTACTAGACTGTATTCTAGCAATTCCCCTAAAAATCAATGTTATTTGATGTAGTAAATAGTGAATTTCCCTAAAATGGGAAGTGTCATTTGATGTTCTAGAAAGTGTAAGCTTAAGCATTCCCTGCAGTTTAAGTACCGGTAAATTAGATAATGAGACTGTGTAACTTGATAAAGAGAATATAGTGTAATTTGTCTACTTTGTTACATTACTTGGGAGTCAAAAATTGAAGACATACATGTACGAGACCAGACTGATCTAACAATTATGCATGGCACATAATATTCCATCCAAATCTTAAAGAATCACTCCCAAACACAATGATTAATTATTCATGAAGTAAGCTTAATGTAGAAAAAATGTATTTTTTAGTGTAGATAAAATAAAACTGAAATGTACTCACTGTACTTAGTGTATAGAGTTAAAAGAACATTTGCCAAATTTGGTAACCTTTAGATATTTTGCTATTGAGTTGTGGCTGAAAATAACAGAATAAAAAGTTTTAAAGTCTTATATCATTCAAAAGTTATACACCAAAGATTCAATTATTGATGCTTATTATATAATGCTGTTAGCATTTGAAAATAATCAGGTAAACTGGATAATCAAATCAGGGCTAAATTTATAAGCATCAAATACATGTAGTTAGTACCTTGTTTAAAGGGACAATAACACTCTTGCTGGCTTGACAGCTCCAGAAAATAAAAAATAGCCTTATTCTAAGTACTAGATGTGTTAGTGTCCTACCTGTTGTGTAAATTATCCATTAAATCCTATTTTACTTGTCCAGAGGATTCAAAAATATTTTTAAATCCAAGTCACATTTGAAAAGCTTTACGTCAGGCTTTTCAAATTATTAGTTGAATTTTTCCAATTTTTTAAATTAGGTGTGTTAAGATAGAATTTGTATCATCAATTAATTGGAATATTGTAAAATAGTACAATTTGTTGACCAGAATAAAGATTGGGACATATTATTCAGTTACAACAAGAGTTGTATTGAGCCTTTAAACATACATTAAACAAGAGCTAAATCTGCCTATCACAGGTCTTTCTTTAGGCCTGAAATGTTATATAAACTATTAATTAGACATTTATTAACAAAGCAAGACCATAATCAACTCTCGATGGCATCGGATACTCAAGATTTTAACTAGATTAAAACAGTTCACCATTTAAATCTTTAATTTAAAAATGGGAAAGCGAGGCTAAGTCTCGAATATGCACACATCTTGTCAAAACTACAAACAGTGATAACTTGGGTCAGAAGAAAGTAATTAAAATGACATTTTCAATATTTTCATTTTGCATTATCTATTTTTGAACTATGATAGTAAGAATGGTCAGCTCTTTATCTAAATCTTAACTAAGGTATCTTTAACTACCTATATGCATATTTGACAAATCGCTCTTCTTTAATGGACTAAGTGCTAAGAAATGGGCATTGACAGAGCTACATGTACCAGTGTCAGCTTTTTAAAATAGTGTCTGTGGAAAATTGAATCATTAAAGACATCTGTCAATAGCTTTTTAATAAGCTTTGAACCGTAGAATGGAAAAGAATAAGCTTATACATGTAATGGTGAATATTCCCAGGATAAAACTATCTTTAGACTAGAGCTGCTGTGTGATCAAGTAATGTAAGAATCTCTTCACCAGACTTGATTAACATCGTTACTGCAGTTACATATATTGTCTTCCGCCTCTCAAGGAAAGAAAGATAGCAGTGTACAATTAAAATGGTGTCATTTGTCCGTCTGTTAGGCTAAGCAGAGATATTTATAAGCAATTTTATTGGTCAAAACTTCGGAACACAATAACTCTGCTTTAAATTGAGCTAAAATGATCAATCTTAGTGCAGATGTTTATTATGGTAGGTGAATGTCTTGACTGAGTTTGATTATGAGCATTTTCTGCTTAGGCTTATCATCTGTCTGTCTGTCTTTCACACATTTTAGAACACAATAACTTTAAGGTAGAATGTTTAACTTGGTGTAGTCGTTTGTTATGTGTGAATATCTAGACTGAGAACAATAAGCATTTCCTGTTTAGGCTAAGCAGCTGTCCCCCCTTGCTTTCTAATAATTGCAGTAGAATGTTCAGACTTGGTTTAGAATTAGATATTCGTTAGATGATTGTCGTCACTGTGTTTGATGATGAGCGTTTTCTGCCTGGCCTAAACAGATAAGCAATTTGATTGCCTTAACTAAGTCTGGTAATGAGTATTTTCTACATAGGTTATGCAGTGATAAAAAAAGTTTGATCGCGAGATGTTTTGTAAAGAGATAAATATTCAAGTAATTAATAAGTGTCATCTATCCATATTTATTTTGAATTTGAGGCAGCGGACACCAGCCTCACTGTCACGTTAGCTTGTTTATCAATTTCAATTCAAATTTTGTTGCTACCTGCTGTGTAGATCTACTATGGCCTGCTCAAAAGCTTGATGTTTGGCCCACTGGAGAAGTTCATTGATGATTGTTAAACTGTTGTAAAAATTAGAATAAAATTTCTTTGCCAACTTAACCTTTTGACCAATAGGGCCTACATATTTCAGTACTCACTGAATTGGTATCTTGTTTTGACATATATCATATTTATTTCAGATCATTAGAAAAGGATGGCTACGATCATATAGCAGCTACTTACTATCTTCTAGTTGAACGACGTCTTAAAAAACATGAACAAGTACAGAATCAACATGCTGCGGCCATGACACATCTACGTAAAAAATCTGATGCAGGACATCATGGCAAGCCTCATCTTGAACCTTTATCTTTATCACCACGGTACGTATGGGATGTTAGACAATATATGTTTAATATATGGATTGTCTATATGAAAACTATACAAGTTGCTATTTGTACAGGATTAGTGGGTTACACGTTAACGGGGCTTCAGAGGGACACTCTTCTGAAGGCAGACTACACAAATCATCAAAAATCTGGATGATATAACTACTTTAGATACAGTTATGACTAGTTTAAATCCAACAATATTGTAAAATATTTTGTGGATGACCACAAATAAATCATTTGATAGTTTTGTTATAAAACGTTTGGAAATTTTTTATTTTTTGGGGGGTGGGGTACCTACATGTATTATGGCTCATTGCAATCTTTGGGACAGGAGAACTGATCAAAACAGAAGGAAAGCAAAGAAATAGGGATCATCCATCAGCTTTAGGGGGGGAACCCAGCATGTTATATAGTCAAAAAGCACACAGACTGCAGAAAATGATCACCATGCATCACATATATATGTATGTACATGCACATTTTGCTGTGCTTGAAGAATTACATTTATAAAATTACCAGTGGATGTCATTTCACTTCCTGTAAGTTTATAATTAAAATTAAGGTAAACAGAATGGTAGTTGTTCTCATTTTTCAAAGTTCACCATAAAAATGATGAGATTTTTACCAGATGTATCATTAAAACTACAAGTATTCAAAAGCTCATTGATAAAATCATATAGGGAGAAAAAGAAGTGCAAACAAGTGGTTTTGAGGTACATATAATAATGGTAGTTCCTGTGTAATATTGGTAGTGCATGTAAAGGATCCCTAGACCATTGTAATTTGGGGGTTTAAAGTCCTACCTTTCTGCACCAACCAGTTTCCACCTGCTTTTCATTGAATTGCAAATGGCAAGGGTTCTTCTATGTGCACACACAGGAGTACACAGTTAACCTAGGTTTTTGTTCCATCCAAAAAACTAGAAGCCTTTCCTTCCAGTCTTTTGGTCCTGCACCTCTGATAAAGAAGGAATTTATTTTTCTGTCAGTACTGGGATTGGACCGGGACCTCTTGGTTAGCCAGCTACATGTATTGCCATTCACACTGAACAACCTTAACCTTAGCTTACAGAATTTGAAGACCAAATCCTACTCCTCTACTTTCAATAAAAGAAAATTATTGTGTAAAATATCAACATGACTGATTGAAACATATATATAAACCAATGATTTTCTGAATTATGGATATTAGGGAAAGCTGTATCTAATTAGATTTTGATGTTTATTTACATTTTAAAAAAATACCAACAGAAAACTAAAAACAGTTTCAAGACTACATAATGAATACATTTATTTTTAACAAAAATACCTCAAGGAAGTTACAACATAATTCTCATTCTTCATTTATTCATTGTTTAGTTTACTGCATGCTTTCAGCTTATCAAATTGCTCAAATACATTATTTCTGTTGAGGTGATTATCTATTGAAACATATATTTATCATTATACATGTATATAACTTTTAAGCTTACTCGACTCTATATTTTCATATTTTCTCTATTGCTATAATTTGCATTATTTATTAATTATGTGGTAAATAAAAATTATATAGCAATGATAGCAAAACTAAATATAACATACCGTGTTCGTTTCCTTCAGAATGGATCGAACGACTGATGAGAAATTTGTATAAGTAAAATAGGTAAACTATCTATAAATGTAGTTAGCCCTGTCTGGTAGGGTAACGTAAATGTTTTATTTTTAAAAGGGCTGTGTTATGATATTATTTAGCTATTTGTCATATAGGTGTGGGCCTGTTGAAGAATTTGCCTTTGGCGAAAAGTTTACTACTATTACTAGGTAAATTTTGCCTGTACAGAGCTAAGCTTGAAACATGTTTATTCACAAAAAACACTGCAGATGGCTTCTGCAACCTTATTTCTATTAAAACAAAAATATCTTGGCTGATATGCTATTTCATTGTTGACTCTCAGAATTATAGCAAATGTGATATTATCATAACAAACTAAAATAAAATTATTCAAACATTGTTAACTATGGTACATATGATATTTAAATACATTATGGAAAGCATTAATAGTACTTAGTACAAGAAAAATAAATGTAATTATATTTAACACTAGATTCACTTGATTATTGAAAACCAGGAAGTTACCTACCTAAAACAATACCCATCTCCTGGAAAATAAACATCACTGTATATGACACACAATGAATCTTAAAACATCTGTATATCAGCAATGGATTGTTACATCTTTTCCAAATTTTAGATATAATCTGTACCAGCAACTCAAAAAATTATTTATTTATGTGCCGTTCAACAGAGATGTTCAAAATGCTATTGCCTCTTTACACTAGTTGACTAGGACTCATTCTTTCAGAATTTAAGTGCATATGTCAACAATGTTCTTTCGTTTCCATTAAGAAAACAGTGGTAGTTGGATAACCTTAGAACATACTTGCCTTGACTAGGCTAATGATTCTGATTGTCAACATTAATTAATTATATAATAATACTATATTAATACACAACTATAACTGTTGGGAATGAATTAGGTTTTGACATGGGTAATGTTCAGGTTAAAGGGTGACACGCCTCTAGCAGTTCAAAGCAATACAATTTATTAGAAAACTATTTTTTATATCATATTACATGTACATTACATAGATATTTACTGAAATATAAATTTTTTTGAAAAATTAAAATCAAAAGTACATGTACATGATGTGTATAGTTATTTAATGTAAAACACAGCTTCCCTGGCAAGATTGTCCTTTTAGCAATTATAGGCAGAAGTTAGTTCGACCATGCAAGCTTGTCACCCTTTAATTAAATTCAATGACAGAAATTTGTAAAATCAAAATTTTTAGAAACAAAGCAAATGATGCATTGAGGATTGCTTTGTCAATGGTATTATGAGATTGATGACTTGTTATTGCTCATTTGGTACTTACAAAGTTATCTCCCCTTTTTAGTTTTGTTCTGCATGGCTAATGTATACACACATGTTTTATTCTAACGTTATTCCCAATTATGGGGACATTTTTAGTTTTTAGAAACACTCCACTTATTTAATAAGTTCTGTATTGAAGCTCCTGGACTTTAAAGGAATAGTTGAATTCAGGATATGACACTTTGCTGCACAGTCTGTCTGCTGCAGGGTCTATTATGGACTCAAGTACTGTTACCATCTAATCCTCAACCAATTGTTCTGTTTTGATTTTATTTTTGCTCATTTAAATCGTCTTGTCATTCATCCATATTTCCATCTGTTCTCTGTAAAACCTACCATTAATTTGTCTGTTTCTATTTTGATTTTGTAGCAAACAGAAAGAGCTAAAGAAGACTAAAACAGCACCCATAGGATTTCATACTCAACAGCAAAGTCCCCATGATATTGTTTTTAGTTCCCCAGTGGGGCTGACCAGTCCCGAGTTGAAACCTTCCTTTGTTAAATGCATCACTGACTCAATGACCCTTGATCGGAAAAACAGTCAGAATAAAAAGAAAGGAATGATATCTGGATCTGTCAGTCCCCAAGTTGATATTAAACCATTATCAGTGTCTGAAGAACCTATGGTACCTGTCAAAAAACTTGAGGCAAAATCACCCAAGAAACCCCATAAATCTTTCTCTAAAATTGCAATCCTCAGCTCATTCTTTGAACGGAAAGCTGTGGCTTCTGCTTCTGGTAACACCCCAGCTGCTGAAAGAAAAGCTGGGTTTTTCGTCAAACATGGAAATCGCAAAAAATCAGAGAAGTAATTGTATTCGAGTGAATCATATTGGTGTTTGCCATTTCAATCTCTAGACTAGTTTGTGTGGATGCATTTAAAGTGACCTCCCTTACTTTCATCCTTGCATTGCTTTCTATTTCTGACATTTTCATTTTTTAGTCATCATTTCATAAACATCACTTCTTTTATGAATTTCTGATTATATATAAAATTATCCAATTAGGTTTAGGTGAGTAATAACTTCACCATTCTTTTTGTTAGATACATTGAGCGCTTTCCGACAGCTCTTCGGGAAATTTCTTAAGGCTTCAATTTTATTGATTGTAAGCATTTTAAAACGATCGAGGTATATGTTTTGAGGGTGGACCTTCGTATTTGATTTTACAATAGTCATTCTTGTTTCGAACTTTAAACTTTAGAAATGAATGACAAATACAGGCTATGGTTATAGAACAAGATAATATTGTCTTTGAAAATTATTTAGTAAGAGAAGTGATGTTTATAAAGCATGTGATATGCCTACTGATATTGCTGTCAGGCTTTTATTTTACAGGATGTACGGTTGTAATGTTGTTTTTGCAGATGTTTCATTTTTGTTTATGTTTCATTATTTTCACAGGAATGGTGTGTGATTTCATAATAAATTACTAGTTACTTATCCTTTAATTTTTTGCTTGACATTGCTTCATAAAAAATAATAACTAAATTTATGAATAATATTCTAAAAAAAATTGAGTAGGTTTAATGTTAATCATGAGTTGATTTAATGACATACAAGTATATTAATGTGGTCCAATGCTTTGGTATATTTAGGTTCATCCCACCCTGTCATTCATAATATTACAATTTTCATTTTTCTCTATAGACAATAATATAATAATCAGTTTATCAAAAGCTTATACATATGTGTATGTATTGCATGAAGAAATAAAATGTATATTCTGGAATACATCTTTTTAAAGACAATTGAGTAATTTTTAACGTTGAATAGACAAGGCAACAGAAAACATCTTAGAACAAGTCATTGTCAAATTTTATCTGAAAATATTAACATAGCTATTGATGGAAATTACCAAATTTACTTAAATCCAAAACAGTATAAAGCACAGTTAAAATCCTAAACGTTGAGGATAGGATAGATTCAAAATCAAAGCTGTATTGCAAAAAAATTTAGTGTTATTTGTTGTAGGGAGATTTATTATGTATAGTATTGCATATATATAGATGTTTTGTCTTTTCTTTTATGATTAGAGTGAAGCTGAGGGTGATATCATCAAAGATTGTCACACCTAACTCTCCTGGTATGGAGGGAATAGAGACTCGTTTCCAGGGGTAACAGAACTATTCCTTCCTGCTTCTTAATTACATTTATTAACAAATGGAATAAGATTTATTTCTTGTTTTATTGATTGATAAATATATTAATTTGACTGTTTTATTGCAGCAATATTTTGGTGTGTGTTCCATGCAAGCAACGCTTTCCATTTTGTTTTATTTCAACTTTTTTTCCTCCAATTTTGAGTTCCAGACTTTTCACCTTTGCTTACATAGCAGAACAATTTGTGGGCCAAATTAGTATTAATCTTCACTAGCTTTTAAAGGCACTGCAAACATTTTGTAACCTAATATATGCTTCAAATGCAATTCTGCTTTGAATAGGGAATCTGCAAAATAAAGAGTTATACCCCCTCTGTTTAATATATAATTTTGTCGTCAAGCTCTTAGCGTTTTACATACATATATCTATATATTACATATGTTAATGATGGTAACTCTTTATTGCGGTAGTACACTATTCAGGCAATAATATTTACACCTTTTGGGTTTAGATTACTTTGGTATATAATTTACCTTACCTTAATTATATGATTGTTGTTGCATGTAATATGTGTGTGTGTTACTGTTAGATTTATGTAAACCATGGGATGTGTGTATCCATATCGAATGCTTTGTATTGAAGTGAAATAAACCTCATCCATTAAAAAATAGTTGCTCTCTCCATTTTTGTAAACCCCTTGCATGAAAAATAAAGATACTATTCATTTATATTACATTTAAAAATGCTTTATAATAAAATATTGTCAAGAGAGACTTGCTTAATTTGTTTAACTTAATTTGTATTATTCTCTTATATTTGGATAAGTGATCATGTTTTAAGTGACTAAACTTTCCTGAATTTCATATCTCATATCTTTGTATCACTTTTTACAAACTTTTTAATTAGTTAAAAAAAGGTTTTTATAAGATGTGACCATAATTTGGTTTCAGATGTCTAATATTGTTTATTGTGTTTTTCAGGGTTATGACACATAGTCACAAGGAACAGAAAGACATTGGGTACGTACAATCTCTGGTATCACCACCTGGAACACATCCTACCTCCTCCACTTCACCGTCTGCTAATAGACATCCAAACACACCTGAGAAAAAACTGAGATTTCGCAAATGTAGCTTGATAAAAGAAGAATCAGTAGAACATGTATCATCATCGTCGTCGTCTCGGAACTACATGGAAGTAGATGTTGAGCCCAGACCTGTTAAATCTATGGAGAATCTACTGGATATTGGAGAAGAAGAAAAACATGCCATGTCACTTCTTAAAGTAACGTCACCAAATCATGATCAGCACAAACGCTCCCTCAAGTCTGTCTGTAGTTCTCCGCAATTACTTAATCAGATTTTTGAGGAGAACGAATCAGACGATGAAGATGATCTTGTTCCTTCTAAGTTTCAATCCAATGCAATGTTTGTCAAGCATAGTGGAGTCGCATCGCCAGAAATCTTACGCAAGTATGAACAGCGAACCAAACGACGTGGAACGGGTCAACGAGGTACAAGCTGTAGCAGCTCCGACGCAAGTGATACTGATGAGACGGAGGGTAGATCACGTAAAGATAAACTCAAACATAAATTCGCTCACAGGCGGGATAGCAGTGATCATTCTAGTGATACCGATGGACCGAGTGGACATGGAGGTAATTTTGGAAGTGGTGCTCAGTTTAATGGCGGAAGTAGTAGTGGTGGCAGTGGCGGGTCAGGACCCTCAAACTCTCAGGATAAGAACAGTAAAGATTACGGTGGCAAAGACAATAGTGGCAGTAAGAATTCAAAAGGACATAGACAGAATCATATAGGTAACAGTCTAGATAGAAATATGAAAGTGCTTACAAATCGTCTAAGTCAGTTAAGTGCCAACTCATTCTCTAGTAGTGACAGCTATAATTGTAGTCCGCAGAATAATATAGTCAACCAGCGTTCTTTCAGCTCCTTGTCAGCTCAATATATAGGTCACACTGACACCGATTCATTGATGGAAATTCAGGAAAGAGAATTTAGTGAGATTGGTCAAGAATATGAAGTAGCAGAGAAGCGAGCTAGGGCATCTTTATGTTCAGATGATTGTATTCTCATGCAACAAAATGGCCAGAAGTCAAATTGTAAAATTACGACAGATATTAATAGTAATGGTGTTCCACCAAGTTTCTGTAAACCAGATATATCTCATTGTTTAGTTGTACCTAATGTAGAATCTAAATGTTGCTCGGTCGTATGATTTCAATAAGTGTATTAATACATAATATCATAATACTAAAGCTCAACCCTTTATATCATAATTAAGATATTTCTATATTAGTCAATTAATATAACTTGCAACTTATTTTAACCTATAAAATACTGATATATGATATTCATACCCAAATTTATTTTTTTTTGTTATACCAAAAATAATTATGTCAATTATTTGGACACAATGATAAAGAGATTCTTTGTGAATCTTAAACATGCTCATACATGTATCATAAATTATACCTTTCTGAATTTTTGATTTCACCTTCATCTTTCGTAAAAATGCCATTTACACAATTTTAATGTTTTATCAAATCACAAGTTTTTATCCTCTTATCACACATTCACCAATCTTTGACTAAATATATTATTATGAGTTAACAGTACTGTTAATATCTTTTAAAATGTATAATCACAATAAAGAGTTGTCAGGCATTATTTCTATAGTTACCTTGTTATTGTGCTATATCAATTCAATTTTTTTTTTTTTTTTTTTTTTTTTAAATTCACAATATCACTGGATTATTTATACGTATGTTTTAAGTGTAGGTAGAAAAATATTCTAAAAGTAGTTGATTCATTTTAGTCATTTTGAGTAAAAAGGGTATTTGTCGTATGTACATGTACTGCACTCAGAATAGCAAGTTCTAAATTTGGATGATGAATTCTATTGGTCTTGACCTTAATGCTTTATAGACGGAAACTCACACACCGCTATATTCTTTTTTTACTTATTTATAATAAAGTCAATCTTCATTTTCTTCATCCCTGTATTAAAAAGCTTTATTTTTAAGTGTATCATTGTTAATCTATTCAGACTGGGTTTAAGATAGGAGAGTCATGTTTTCAAACAATTTTATTAAAGAAAATGTTGATATTTTCAGCATTTGTGCATATGACATATCTTAAAATATGTAGCATGGGAATATAAACAAGCTTGTCTGTTGATTTTAGATATACATGTATACCGGTAGTTGAATTTATTATAGATTATTTTAATACCAAATACATTTTATTTTCTAATACATACTGCTGCCGTTATTATTAATCTTATTTGGATTCTGATTCAGTTTTCAATTGATATTATTAAAAGTACAAGATTGGGATAAACAATGCAATTATTAGTGTTTCCATAAGGTTTCGAGCGCCGATTGTTAGATATTCTTAAATGTATACTAATATTACTAAGGACATAATTTTGAATGATGGTTTAATTTATTTGTACAGATTAATTAAATAATTAGTTTAATCGCTGATACATATGAATCTGTTCATTCTATATGTGTATGATACATAGAATTGTAATTGTTAATGTCCATTTTGTTATTATTGTTATGAAATATGATCATCATATTTGTTATTGTAAAGATCGATTTGTTATTAGTAAGTGCCTGAGAATTGTTATATCTAGAATACAGTACATTAAGTTTAGGGCATTACGCTTAAGTTCAAAGCACCAAACCATCAAGCAATATTTCAATATTTTAATTTGGCTATAAATTTATAATACTTAATAACTTGTGATTGATATGGATCGCTATTTTATCTGAATTTGGTTTGAAATTTTCTGAACTTGATATTTACTGTTCAACTATTTCGTCTTCAAATGCCCTTATATAGCTTCAAATCCAGTATGGACTTTTCCTGTGTTTTAAGTTATAGTAATAAGTCGTTATATTTTGGAAGTTAAATCCTGTGCTGGCATAGGTTTATGTATATACAGGAGATATACTGCATACATTATACATATAATTACATCTAGTTGATTTACTGTATATTTTGTATATTTAATCTGTGTTGTGAGTCATGTCATGTATAATATATTTAATTTATGTGATTGAGACAAATCTCAAGATAGGCTATGTATGTATGTATGCATTTGTTCGTATTTCTCAAGTTATTTTCAAACGCTTTCTTTTTCTTTTAAATTGGAAGTTTATTGTGACTTTGTGAACATCAAAGAAGTGTAATTTATGACGTCTACCAACTCTGATATCCTAAATCTACAACTATTTTAAAATTAGCTTTAGCTTCTCGGTATGAATTAATTTGTCAACGACTATTTAGCTTACTTTATTTTTGTGCAATTCAGTATAGAATTGTGCAAACTATTAATAGATTCAAAGAGCTCATTTCTGAAATGTCATAGATGCCAGCCATTCCAAATATTTGATGAATTGAGCATGGCATTCCAAGATGTCTGATGTCAAAGAAGTGGCCCCCAACAAGAAAAAAACTAGCAACTTTCATTGAAAATAGCAAAGGAAATATGTCCCAGAATTACTTGAGTGAATCAATTGGGTTTAATCTGTGTGGGTGACCCATAGAAACCTTTACCCTAGTCATGTAAAACTGTTTAAAGTTCTGTTGTATTTTTCTCTGAAATACACACCTTTGGCTTCCATGTGGTTAGTGATAAATTCAACCCTTTCCCTAAGTGCCTGAATAGCCATGTCTACATATTTGTCCAAGGTACAGTTGTAAGTGATCATCAAGATCATCAAGCTACTCATAACAATGGAATTCCTCTCTGTTAAGTAAATCTAGCTTTGAACTGAAATTTTCAAACAGGCTGTTTGGGTTATTTCTTTACATTTTGACTTTTAATTTGCATACTTTTAATCAATGGGTGTCCTGTGAACTCTGTGGCTGCTCCTTTAAAGAATATACATGTACATGTATTATATTTGAGCTTTTTCAAATAGGTGCGTGTAAGGAAGATAAAATTCAAATTTGTTTGGCTTGGATGGCATTGATGTTATTTTATTTAAATAAATTATGTCTTTGATAAAAATTGTAACTAAGCAAACATTCTATTATAAAGTTAATACAACCTATATCTATAAATTATATATTAATAATTTAACTGGGTACTAATCAGTATGTTAAATATCAGAATCTGTTGAGGGAATTTGAACTTTTTCTGAAAACAGTACTACTGTTCAGTATTATATTTGGTTGAAGAAAAATGTTTAATAATAGAATTTGATACAAATATAATAAAGCTTCTATTGTTATTCTTCATGCTTTCAAACTTTCCATTCATATTTCATTTCATTCATGTATATTATAACATTGAATTTAAATTTTTAACAAAAATACTGATTAATGGGGATTATTCATATACATTACACTAGTCATCACACATATTTTAAATTGTATTCAAAATGACTTATTAACATTAATCATCATCTGTATTTCTAACATAATGTTGTACAAAATAATCAAGAATTTGCAAGATGTGTTAGTAAATGAAATTATGTATACATGTATGTTTCTATTATTCTTGTTCTGTCTTCCTTTTATTCCTCTAATTCATTTATTCTTTCTTTCTTCCCTTTTATCTGCATGTTGATACTATGTTCTGCCTATTACTATTGTAAAGTCTATTTTGAATATGTGTTAGTGGTATTTTTTTTATGTTCTACTGTACAGTTCCTCATGGCACCCTATCCATTGGTTGGATTCAAATTCACAATAACCAATAATAATTTGTCCCGTAGTCATTAAATTTTCACTTGAAATAAGGTTTTTAATTAGTTTTTAATTGTCAGCCTGTGTTAATAGGATTTTATAATTGATAAAAATAAGGTACCATATTCTTTTAATTCACAAATTTTCTTTACTTCCTTCATCTTGATTTGTATAAACAAAAGCCATCATCCTTTGTGATTTCATTTTTGTACACACAGCACTGACACAGATAAAGGAGATCTTGGACATGATTTTTGGCGGGGTTTCAAATCTGGTGCCTTTTATTTTTTAATTTCAAAAATGATTTTAGTGTTGATTGTATTTTAGTTTAAACTTGTTCTAAATTCAGATTTTAAGTATGTTTTAATTGGCTTTAATTGACTTCTATGCAGTCCTCATTTTGTGTTTTATTTAACCTGTGTTATAGAGAGTCAAATTATATGTAAACACTAGTAGAATATCACTGTATATAATAATAATAATGTGTTTTAGTTTATACAGCTCCCAACCAATGTATAGCTGTAGTTTAACCCTCCCTCAATAATGTAATAAAACTGTGTATAAAAATCTTTATCTTTTTTATTTATATTTACATTGTTGAATGAAGTGGGTCATTTCATCAGACAAACCCCTTCAGTCAGGGTAGATTAACTTGAGGTTGACCATGTACCGGATTAGGCGGTCCCATTGACTGTCCTGTTTTTAATCAGGTGTTTTTCATTTGAAAATAATAACACAAAACTCATGATCTTTTGATGATCATACTAAGAAGTCCCGGTTTCTTCTATGAAGGGGGGTTGGGTGGCCGAATGGTTAACGCATGTACGTTGTATCATAAGGTCTTTCATTGAGTCAAGTGGCATGGTTCCAATTCTCCGATTGTACGTGACAAGGAGTAGGGTCACCTGTCCAACCTCATGGATTTTCTCCGTTTTTTTCCCACTGCTAAAGATCTCTATGAAATTAAACGGTGTTAGTCCCAAAATGACCTGGTTTGTGTTGAGTTCAAGCCCATTTCCTTCTCTCTCTCTTCTATGAATAATCTGGTAACCCCATATATTCCCGACTCTGAGGGGGGGGGGGGGATAACAGATCTAAGAGATCTGTACGTGCTTCATTTATGGAAGCTTATAACTACCATTCATAATTTCTACTTTTCGTTCCTTCAGAACGCCAATGTCGAAAAGAAAAAGTCAAGGCAAATCGAAAGGGGGAGCACGCAACCAAGCAAAAATCAACTCGGAAATTGGAAATTAAGAAATACCAGGCTACCTTGAATTGACAGCGATGTTTCAATCTGAACTACAGATTCACCCTACCTGCAGAGAAGCTATCATTTAATTTTCGTACGTTAGTTGCGTACGAGCGATGTTTTAGAAGTTCAGCGCGTACCACTCATGAACCCAATACTTCGCGCCAACTTAAAAAAAAACAACCCTAAACAAACTCTATAGCTTCTATTGCGTTCACAAGGTTTTCGACTTTACAATACTAATTATACAATTTGTATAAATAGAACATGCAGGTATGCCCTCACACCCATACACATGTATGTCCTGTGTATGTCATTGAACTGAAACCTATCTTATTATATTTCAGTTTACAAAACCATATTATATAGATAGTTCAAGGATACAATAAACTATTCATTAAATAAAGGCTTTGTAGTGAAGCATATTGAAGGAAATGATTATTGATCACAGTGTTTATAGTGACTGCACGGTAACCATGTGTCTGTTATATGATCAGTGTTTGCAAGTTTTATAAGCAGCAAGAAACAAGTAAATATTGCGAATAATTCAGGTAATTTAGATACATTCTATTTTAATGGTAGTTATTAAAATGTTCTATCAAATCAGTCTTTCGATTACGTTTTGGGGTTCTATTATATTCATTTGCATATAAGGGGGTTGGATGGCCAAATGGTTAGCGCGTGTGCGTTGTATCATAAGGTCTGTCATTGAGTCAACTGGCGTAGTTTCGATTCCCCGGTTGTACGTGACAAACAGGCAATATTATGTAATATTATGTATTATGAATATAATGCTTAACGGTAACTAAAAAAGCTTGTCGGATATCGTTGAAGACTTGTAATAATAGTCTACAGTTATTTCCACAGGGTTTGTAATTGTTTCCGCTATCGTTCTATACATGTACATATAAAATGACAACGTAAACTCAAGAACAGGCATGATAATAATTACATTTACATTGACCTATATATGAACATAATTGGCAAGGATATGACGATGTTCTCATATTTTCACCAAGCGTCCGCGCTTACAGTCTAATTTGACCACCGGCGAGCTAGTTAAGTTCGATCGTGTCCGTCAGGCCAAGATCACACGCAAGAATTATTGAGGCGTTCCTGTTTCATTACTTATTTTCAGATTAACTGGATTTTTTTCCTAGGGGGTGGTCCCCCACCCCCCTCCTCCCTCCTCATACACACACACATTAACGCTCCTGCGCAAACTATTAGCTTTGTGAGCCTTACAAAAGCACGAATGGTAGTTTGGGGTGTTCTAGAAAGTTAACGCAATTAAAGGGGCATTATGTAAGATTAGATACAGAGATGATAGTTCTCGCTATAATCTATACTAATATTTGTGACTGTCGTTTGTCTGTCTGTCTGTTTGTCTGTCTGTTCGGGGTTGGCGGCTACACTAGGTCTGCCCCGAGTCTGAAATTTGGGGTATAGGGGTAGCTCGGACCAGGGAGTAACATAGGCCAGCAGAAATTCGCCCATGTATCTGTTATCACGCGTCACTTCAGCCAGTTTTATAGAGGGATAACTCGTGTTTTCCTTTTGCGTTCGTCACTTCCTATTGTTGAAACATTGATTACTCATCTATCGTAGCAATGATCTCTGTGTTAAAATTATATTTGAAATGTGTTTAACCAGCTCTATCACATATGTGATAATGACTGGCACCAATATTGTCCTTTAATGACGGCTTCATATTGTGACTGAATATACTGCATCTTAAAGGAGCTAAATCGCTAACATTTGGGACCTAGAAATTGACAATAGTGGGTCGCAACGCATATAATACTGTAGTATGAATGTATATAAACTGATTTACATTCAATGGTTTCCGTTTTTACTCCAAATTCAAATCAGTTATGTTCGGTGAAATAAGCCAGCAGTCTCAAGCGAGTGCAAATTTCTAGAGTCTGGTTATTCCAGTCTACATACGCCGTTTGATTTGGTGCAATGTGTCTAGCCTCGTCCCTCGAGTCTCTTGATACAACTGGGGCTGAAGCGCATTATGGTACACGATTCGTGTACCAATGGTAAAATATTTATTTTATTTTAAATATTGGATATCAAAAGCCCATCTTTTTCCGGTAAGATCACAACATGAATGTTGATTTAATTTGACAAATAAATCGTGTTTTCAACCATTCTCTCTATCCCCCAATCCAGATATTGCCACTTGGATTTAGGGGGGTGACGGGGAGGGGGGGGCGTCCCCCCTTCCGATTCTAAGGGCGGGGGGGGGGGCGAATAGGTCTCTGCCCCCCCCCACCATGATTTTGATCGCCAGGACAGATTTTCAGGTTTATATCTACATGATGATGAGCTTGTTTCATCGTATCTGGAACTGAATCGGGACTTGAAACAAGAATTGCCATTCTTCAAGCGCCAGTTTTCGGCCAAATCTATTTCACTTGTGCACGAAGCGTTCATCATTATGTCACCTGAATTGAGGCAGATGTTCCCTTCTGTCGAAGCTCTTCTCATCCCACAGCGTGGAGGTTGGGTGTTAGATCCCTGCATTGGCCGAGAAAGTTCATCCAGATTTTCAAGCTTGGTTCCCCCTTGTCAGTGATGGAGGGCCTGACAAGGACAGCTGTCTAGTCGTTCGGATGGGACGAAAAACCGAGATCCCGTGTACACATTGGCGTGCACGTAAAAGATCCCATGACAGTTGGAATTCGATATAAGAGTATGCCGTAGCGCCGCTGCCCGGGCAAAATGTCCCTCATAGCACACTGTATGGCGTATGCCCGTCTTCATTAGCCCAGATAGGAGCAGAACAGTAGGACGTTAAATCCCATTTCATTTCATTTCTGTAATTAAGAAGGAATGCCCTGCTATTAAAATTCGATCAAACCAGGTCATGTTTACGTCACGTCTTGTGAGTCAGAGGAGAATTCATTGCATACATAAGACGATGTTGTCTTTAATCGCTTACTATTTATTACAAATATCGAATCCTAATTAAATTCTCGGATTATCCACTACCCGCGTCTTTTTCCGCGTACGTCGTCTAACTCTTCATAAAGTTTATCAACTTGTACACAGCGCTCAATGTTCGCTTGTGACCTTTGACATCACGCGTGCGGAACTTCCTAATCGTCGGGCTGTTGATTAGGGGAACCCTTACATTTTGGTCCTGTTTACGCTCCATGAGTGTTTTTCGGCGAATCCATTATTTTTCTAGTAAGATTGGATATCTCTACTTTCCATATATACCAAAATTGCCATACTTTTATTGGAAATAACCACCCGATAAATACTTTTTTAGGAACCCATCCTTAAGAAAGGCTTGAGAAAAATAAAATGTAAATATTAAGAAACGATTTATTCTTTATAAACATTAAAACACGCCCATTTCAAGTTTTATACAAGTTTAATAGCCTCTTGTATACTTAGTTGCCTTATTTAATAATATCAAATGTATATTTGTATTGATCAAACTACAAAGAACAATTGAGTAAAAACATTTGGCTTGATCCACACTTTTTCCTCCATATAGACCGGGAGCCCAGGAGGTTAGCCTAGCTGAAAAGTGTGCCAATTTTCACATATATGGTATCAAAGCATTCATATCTGGTATCATCAGAATGTAAGTCTGCCGAGTATCTGGTGGTGGGTGTGTCTGTGAGGGCTGGGTTTCTGGGCTTGAATTCTTGGGCTAGATTAGCTCAAAAGTGTACCACATGAAAATGGTACAGCAGTGTACCTTACATCTTCAAGTATTATAAAAACATTTTGACAGACATTTCTAGTGGTGGGGTACCCCCGACAGAGTTATGTAATTGCCAGACCACAACCAGGCTAGATTAGCTGAAATCTGTACCACTTAAAACTGCTTTTGAGTTGTTCAGCACCACCACAGGAATCACGAATGATCACTGCCAGACAGTTTATGCGGTGGGTTATCCCTAACAGAACAGACACACCCAATATGCCACGCCTGCTAAGTTAGATTAGCTTAAATCCGTACCGCCTAAAACTGCTTGGAAGTCGTTCAGCACCACAGGAATCATGAATGATCACTGCCAGACAGTTTGTGCGGTGGGCAACCCCTAACGCACATGCCCAAAATGCCAGCCCAGCCCCCGCCCCACCTAGGCTAGATTAGCTGAAGCCTGTACCACCTAAAACTGCTTGGAATTGGTTCAGCACCACAGGAATCATGAAGGATAACTCCCAGGCAGTTTGTGCGATGGGTTACCCCTAACACTAACAGACACTCCAAAAATGCCACGCCCCCAACTAGGCTAGTCTAGCTGAAGCCCGTACTACCTAAAACTGCTTGGAAGTTGTTCAGCCCCACCACAGGAACCAAGAATGACCACTACAAGTCAGTTTGTTGGGGGGGGGGGGGGGTACCAATGACAATAAGCCCAAAATGTCACGCCCCGCAACAAAGCTACATAAGCTGAAGGATGATACCACCCTGGGGAAATTTTAATATTCAAGATGGCCGTCATGAGACATTTTCTGGTTATTTACTTTAATTTAGTGGGGTAAAATTCGGGAGAGATTCTCTCGAACCTTGGTATGAAGGTAGTTTCTATAAGAATTTGACCCATTGAATCCGACGAGCTTGGGTGTTCCTCCTAAAAGCGACTGCTAATTCCACTAGGAAGCCAAATTCACAAGTGGGGCTCATTTTTGAAGAAAACTCATAATGTTCCCTAAAACGGCGTGTAATATATTGAAATATAGGTTTTCGTTGTCAATTACTTCAAATATAGACATAAAAATCATGTTTCGACAAAAAGGTATTCCAATCCGATGATATTCTTTCCCTTGTATTTTTATAAGGACACAAATTATACACGGTCAAAAAGAATCAACCATCGGGCCATCGTGAGTCGAAAGCAAATGTTTATAAAAGCTAACTGGGGCTTGTCCAACCTCATGTAAACGTCTAACTTACGCTCGCCATTTTGAATATGACCTCAACCTGGAATACCCGTTGGTCGGAACATGTTTTTATGTTTATATCTGAAGTAACTGACACCGAAAACCTATATTTTAATATACTGTACACCCTTGTTAGGGGACTATATGGGTTCCCCCCCAAAATAAGCCTCCATTTTGAATTTGGCCCCCTAGCGGAATTAGCCATCACTTTTAGGAGAAATAGCAAAATTCATTGGATTCAGTGGGTCAAATTACAATAGAAACAAGCTTCATACCGAGGTCCGAGAGAATCTGTCCCGACTTTTACCCCACTAAATTAAAGTAAATAACCAGAAAATGTCTCATGTCGGCCATCTTGAATATTTAAATTTTCCGAAGGGTGCCAGGGTGGCATTACACAGATTTTGAATCTACACATATTAAATACATATAATCCACTCAAAACCTATACATTTCAATATATTGCACATCATTTTAGTGAACTTTATGAGTTTCCCTCTAAAATGAGCCTCCATTTTCAATTTGGCCCTCTAGCGAAATTAGCCATCACTTTCAGGAGGAATACCCTAGCTCATTGGATTCAGCGGGTCGAATTCTTCTAGAAACATATTCAAACCGAGGTCCAAGAGCAGCCGTCATAGGCGTAGGAGCCGGGGGGCAGGCGGGGCATTTGCCCCCCAAAAAATTTATTTTCGGGCAATGAAAAATTCGACGACCTTTTTTTTCTATTAACTAACTTATTTCTATGAGATCCACACTGCCCGAAAAGTATTTTCTAGTCTTTTTCTTGTCCACTGCATGCCCGAAAATATGCCCGAAGCTCTCTTATGATATGTATGCCCGAAAAAACGGTATTGATTTCGGGCAATTTTCTCTTATGCCCCCCTGAATTACTTTGAGCTCCTACGCCTATGGCAGCCGTCACATATTTTACCCCACTAAATAACCTTGAAACCGCCTTATGTCAGCCATCTTGAATATATAAAAATTTCCCCAATTCTGAATCAACACATATAGAAGATATATAATCCACCAATAAACATTATGTGGACTATATTTCCATGTCAAGGCTTAAAATGGGGTTTGGCAACCGGACTTTATGGTTCGTATGTCAGTATCCTCAGAGTTGAACCACTACTTATTATTCTTCATACGATTACTTAATCTTTTAATAGATATTACATACTCATGAAAATATGTAATACCCAAATTTCTCAATAAGTCTGACCCAGCTGATAAAGCCAAATTTTTGGGAGGGGGCGCTTGGCTGTTGTGTCTTATGGGAGAACCCCACCAAACAACTCTCTAGCAATTGGCAGTGTGATCTCTGGGGTGCTGAACAATTTCCAAGCAGTTTTAAGTGGTACACACTTCAGCTACTCTAGCCTTATTGCGAGGCGTGTCATTTTGGGCGTGTCTGTTAGGGTAACCCACCGTACAATCGGTTTGGCAGTGATCATTCATGATTCCTGTGGTGGTGCTGAACAACACCAAAGCAGTTATAAGTGGTACATATTTCAGCTGATCTAGCCTAGTTGCGGGACGGGGCATTTTGCGCGTTTCTTTTAGGGGTACCCCACCGCAATATTTGTCTGGCAGTGGTAATTCATGATCCCTGTGGTGGTGATGAACAACTTCCAAGCACTTTTAGGTGGTACGGACTTCAGCTAACTTAGCCTAGTTGGGGGGGGGGGGGCGTGGTATTTTCGCCGTGTCTGTCAGGGTAACCCACCGCCCAAATTGTCTGGCAGTGATGATTCTTGGTTCCTGTGGTGGTGCTGAACAACTTCCAAGCAGTTTTAAGTGGTACAGATTTCAGCTAATCTAGCCTAGCTGTGGTCTGGCAATTACATAACTCTGTCGGGGGTACACCACCGCTAGAAATGTCTGTCAGGGTGTTTTTGTAATACTTAAAGATGTATGGTACACTGCTGTACCATTTTCATGTGGTACACTTTTGAGCTAATCTAGCTCAAGAATTCATACCCAGAATCGCAGCCCTCACAGCCACACCCACAACCAGATACCCGGCAGACTTACATTCTGATGATACCAGATATGCATGCATTAATACCATATAGGTGAACATTGGTACAATTTTCAGCTAGCTTGACCCCCTGGGCTCCTGCTCTAATAATTCTCTCTGTCTGATGTGTTTCATCCATCGGCGAGAAATCATAGCTGAGCCCTTGATACCAATTTGTACATGGCGGGTATCACTCGTCTTATACCAATGCCAGTTTCCCATGGCTGTCACGATTCGCGCTACGTATGAAATCGGGGGGTTGGATGGCTGATTGGTTAGCACGTGCGCGCTGTATCATAAAGTCTGTCATTGAGTCAACTGGCATGGTTTCGATTCCCCGATTGTACGTGACAATGAGTAGGGTCGCCTGTCCAACCTCGTGGGTTTTCTCCGGGTCCTCTGGTTTCCTCCCACTGCTAAAGACCCCTACGCGCAAGCGAATTATGGAAATAAAATTGAACCATATGTTAGTCCCGAAATGACCTAGTATGTGTCGAGTGGACGTTAAACCCCATTTTTCTCTATCTCTCTCTCTCTCTCTCTCTCTCTCTCTTACACACGTTTGAAATCGTGGTTTTAATCGTGGAGTAATCTAGCTTGGTGATCCTGTCAGGTCTTATCATATATTGAGGCCAGTCGTAGGAATCGCGTTGTCGTGATCGTATTGAAACGCATCCGAAACTCTAAAACTACATTGACGCAACGTATCACGTGATGATATGGATACGCGATACGGATGGGGAAAATTCCACTTGCCGAAAGTCTTTATTAGGGACAATATATATGCCATTATTGATAATAAAATATCATACGATTTCAAACAAGGATGTTTTCTAGTAAATCTTAAGACTACTTCATATACTCACCCATCCAGTTCCGTTTTGGCTTCATATAAATTCTGTTGATATAACCTCTGTCAGTCTTTTAAACTGTAACGGTATTTCGACAGTTCATGAGGTCAACTTATATCTACTTATATCATCATATAAGCTTATTATACATACGTACTAAATTACGACATGGAGTTATTAAGGCAAGTAGAATATATGCCTATATATCAATATGGGCATATTGTTGTTTCTGATTTTTACACGTTTAGCACGGAGCTGGTTATAGGTGGAGAAACTATTGCAATATACACCTAGACATGGATCCTTTATAGTAAGTTGTATATGTAGCTATATTACTTGTTTTGTTCTGGATTGGGGGAGAGGAGGTCGGGGGGGGGGGGGCTAACAGATATCATTTATTTTTGTTGAGACCAAGTGTGAATTAATTGTTTATTACGTTCATTTGGCTTACACTATAGACCCGGACACCGACCCAGTTCTGCGAATAAATTAAGGCTTGGGCTATTTGCCACACTGGACTCGAATGCCGGACCTCCTGTTTATTGAACCAGTGCATTAGTTGGGATGGGGTGTTAGTATATAGTTTTATTGCATTATAGGTTTTTCCAGCAAATCTGAATCGCCAGTGTCCACATATATGAAATTCTCCTTTCCTTTATTTCAGTCTGTTCAATCGACATTTTGATATGTATTCTCGCTATAGAAATAACCCAAGAGGTGCAATACCCACTGATAGGAGAGGTGATTACATTCCACGCCGAAGGAACAGACACAGAAACTACGATGGTTTGCCTAGTTACATGAGACCCACAGAGAGTTCGTTTCGCCGTTCACGAACTTACGGTCCACAACGACGAAAACCACGTCCCTGGGAACGAGACAATGGTCCCCCAACGACCGACCATCCAGCGAATGACGCACCTGACACGACTAATACAGACGATGTTCCTAAACCAAAAATAGGTAACAGACCAAGTAGTGTCTTTTTACTAGCTCTATAATAGAGGATCTCATATTTAAAGAAGTCTTTTTTTTATATCAGACTTCAAATGCCGAGGCTTTTAATTTGTGTTCCGAGACCTTCCGTCCAGAGTAAAGTCCCTTTTCCGAAAACCTTGTGGACGCGATATAGGCTACAGGTTTTAAAGAATTATTTTTAAATTTGGTTGGAGGCATTGGGATCATGCGAGGACAAACACTATTGACATTCAGCGTTCTGCGACGTCCCATCCCCCTACAACTCAATAGACACTATCGTTTTTAACGGATTCTTTTCAAATTTGGTGAAGCATTGTGGTCATGAGAGGACGAACCCTATCAGTATTAGCATTCTGCGACTTTTCGTTTCAGAAATACCCCCCCCCCCCCCCGCCCCCCGCCCTTTAACGAAAACCAAGTGAACGCGATAGACGCACCCCCCTTGCTGAAAACCTCAAATGCAATTTGAGTTTTTAATAGAATTTAGTGTGAGGCATTTTGGTCATAAACAGACAAAACCTGTCGAAAGCCAATGTTTAAAATTTACAATCTTGTAAACACGACAGAGATCAGATCTATTAAAAACACCCATTTTAATGTGGTCAACATCCAAGTTTTCCTTTCGGATAAACTGCTGTTGAGACACAATTGCTGTGTGGGCGCATTTCGACGCTTTGTGTGGCTATCTTCTTTTTTTTATCTTTTTGTATGTAGAGGAAGAAGCTACTGCAGAGGAATTGGCTACAGTTCTAACTGTTAAAAATATTGATCTAAATATTGAAGAAAATGTACAGCAACACCACACCGACAAATATGAAAATACAATGGAAAGAGAAGATGGAGATGGGGAAAAATTAGAACGAGAACTGGTTATCAGACGTGCTGCAGAGTTTCAAATCACCATCGAATTTGATCGACCTTATAATAAAAAACAAGATGATCTTACTTTCCTTTTTAAAACAGGTATTTTAGTTTTCCCCCCAAATTCGTTTTAGTACATCAATGATAGCTGACATTTAATGAAAATATTCACGTTGAATACGAATAAAACTATGAGAAATCGTTTCATTTGTAATCTTGATTGCAATAATACATTAAAATCTCTCTTGTTTCCCATCCGCCAAAGCAGCATAACAGGACAATAAATAAATGTATTGTTTTGTGTAGGTGAGTATCCCCTACCAAAAGCAGGAACATTGGCAAGTTTTAAACTACAGGAAGGTGCTGATAGGTCGTATAAACCAGATAGTTGGGGAGCTCATATAGTTAAATTAGATGGTAACTTTATGACCATGGCAGTCTACGTTCCGGCTAAATGTGTTATTGGCGAATGGGAGTTCGTGGTAAAGACGATATTTGAAGATAAAGATGGTAAAAAGATGTCTTTTAGATATGAATATCCAGATGATATTATTATACTTCTTAATCCCTGGAGTCCAGGTAAGATTTTATGCAAATGCCTGTCTAATTAGAAATAATTTGCATATTTGTTTCATTTTTTCCGGAATTTTACGCACCACCGAAATAGGATTAGATTGAAACGAATTTGTAATTTATTTTTGAGTAGACAGCACTACTGTATCAGTCTACTTAAGATTAGATAACAATTTTGTTTTGTCCCGGCCTAATTCCTCTAAATACCAGTCATGCTATTTTGTTGTATTTTTGGTTGTATGTTCCCACAAACACAGCCCAAAATACCAATACTACCGCTTTAAAGTCTCCCAATGACATTTGAGGGTATTGTAAAGGTGAATCCCTGAAAGGTCTAAAAAAAAATGTTTCAATTCCATTCAGTATGTTCAAAAATATAATGAATTGACAATTTTGCAACATTCTATATAAACTTGATATGGCCAAAACGAAAGAAATAGTCAAAATGTATCACTTAACCCTTATAAACCAGCCGTTTCCATCTTTAGGTTTCGCTGAATGTTTTTGATTGCTCTCTTTTTAATCCCATAGAATCGAAAGAAGAATATCTTATCACATATATTTTGCTTTTCTACATTTTAGCATGGATTAAATCCTGGAACATTTGATATTTACCTAAAAATACAATGATGGTCGTTGGCTTTTAGGAAAATATAATATCATATCAAAAATTAAACGAAACATCAGAATTCATAAAATATTTAATGAGAAATTAATGTGGCACCATGCTGAAAAGAAAACCATTTTCACTATTTAGTATGTGAAACCTTGACTAAGCTATGATTTTTTCTATTGCATTTCCAGATGATACAGTATATTATCCAACAGAGAAATTATTAGATGAATATGTGTTAAATGATGGTGGTGCTTTATTTTATGGTAATTATAGACAAATTGGTTCAAGAGGTTGGAACTTTGGACAGGTTGGTAGGAATTTGATTATCATGACCAAGTCTATCATGTAAGATTGTTCATGCAAGAAAACAGAAATTACGGGGTTGCTTTTTTCATAAAACAAGTACAAAATCCTTTCTATTTTGATTCATTTACATGAACCACTCTACTTAGCAAAGAAAATGCTGTATTTCATGATAAAATACATCTGAGAGAACACAGCCAGGTTCAACGAAAACAAATCAAGCTAACGGTTGCCTCAACGATCAAAGAATTAATGGCTTTTTAATATAAATTTGATTCTATTCTGTTTGTGTTTCAGTTTGCCGACGGTATTTTAGATGCATCTCTTGTTATCTTGAGAAAAGCTTTTGGTTTTAAAATTGATGGTAACATGGGTGACCCAGTTCACATCTCAAGAGCTTTGTCCAGAATTGTAAGTTTTCTTTTTTTTTAAAGATGATTGTTCTGTGTGGTTAAATGTGCTCATACAGTGAAACAACAAAGAAAATTTTGTTGGCACAGTAAAGCTTACGCATATCCCATTAAAATTTTAAATGGGTGGTGTTTAGATACATTGAATAGCATTGTTGTGGTATTGCTTTGTACTTGTTCAGCTCTGCTCAGTACCTTATTTTGTTAATTTCAAGTAAAATGGTATGCATACGTAGTACATGTATACAATACAGTACTGAATAGAACTTAATAGACCAAATGGAGGGTCTAGAGCACAAGTGATCTAACAACCAACTAAAATGGTTGGTAGTAAGATCACTTGTGCTCTAGACCCTCCAAATGATAATGAGTAAAAAAGACAAAAAAAAATGTAAATTATGTATAATTATGTATAATTATAATAAACAATTTGGTCGTTGAAAAGCTTTCTAGTTGCGTGTTTTTTATAAACAATTAAAGACATAGCAAACCATTTTTTCAGCAGTTCCAAATGAAAACAGGAGCCAAACAGGGCACAGAATCAATCAATGCATATAGATCATCTAGAAACTAACATGTTTATTTTATTGCCAAGCTTGTTGATGAGATGTGTTCATTCTTGTTCACAACCTCTGTAAACCTATGTAAAGATATTCAATCTTTGGTTATTATTTCCAGGTTAACAACAATGATGACAATGGTGTTTTAGTAGGTAACTGGTCTGGGGAATATGACGATGGAACACGCCCTACAGCCTGGACAGGAAGTATTAAGATCATACAGCAGTATATGGAAAAAAGAGAACCAGTTCAATATGGGCAATGCTGGGTTTTCTCTGGAGTTTTGACAACAAGTAATTACACTCCTCTGTTTTCAATGATCATGTGTTAAACCCCCTTGATAATCACAAACAAATTTGTATTTCTTTTTAAAGTGTGTAGTGGTGGCCTAGAGTCAGATTTGTCTATAATTTCGCATACTATTAAAATATGAACATGCCTTATGTAACAGTTATCAAATCATTTCAGATCTAAATTTATATACAATTTTATCAATTCAATTTAGTTTGTCGAGCCCTTGGTCTGCCGTGTAGAAGTGTGACGAACTTTGCGTCTGCCCACGACACAGATTTGAGCTGTACTATTGATAATGTATATAGACTGGATGATGATGATGATTTAGAGAAAACCAACCTGTCCGGAGATTCAGTTTGGTATGGTATTTTACATATAAATATTTTGGCTACTGTTGAAAGTGTTATGTATTCCATGGAGCAACTTTTGATATAAAACCAGCTTCAGTTTTTAGACATCTTTAAAAATTTGTCGCATGAAATTGGATAAATTACCCCGTTTGCAGACTGAAGAGATAAATGCATTATGACAATTTAGTATGTCGGCTACAACACCATATTTTATGTATTTACCATGTTTACTTGTGATCAGTGTCATCATATTATCCCTGTCTAAATGTGATTTTTGTTTTTTTTTAACAGGAATTTTCATGTATGGAATGAAGTTTATATGCAAAGACCCGATTTACCGACTTCCTCTACGGAGTATCATGGGTGGCAAGTTATTGACGCCACACCTCAGGAAAGAAGTGATGGTAAGTCCGTGAACAGAGGAATGGATCTCCAGATGCCATTTTATTGTCATATATTGTGGGAATATATTATCACTGTGCCTGTCGATCTAATATAATATTGTTCAGATTCTGCTGACCAAAACTTTTGAGCTTTTTCTCTCCCATTTTCCGGAATTGTTCAACAAGTCATACATACTTTTATGCGGACTTACAGACACGATCACCTAAACTAAATAAACGCTTTACAGATCAGGGTCTTTGAGATCTTAATGGGATTGTTCTGCCAGGGGGAGGGGAGTGTTATCAAAATAAATATGACCTTATTAACTTCCTTCAGACCGAAATGTGAAAACAATGTGAATGTCTTTGGATTGAGATTCTCTGAACATTACCAAAAACGAAAGTTGGAGAAGTCTAATAGTCCACAGAGAGTTGAAAAAGGGCATCATTATGTAGCTTCGTTCAGGAAGTTGATATCTTAATTTTCGCCATCGCCATCATAACAGCCATACAAAATGGCGCTGAGGAATGGAGTTAGATTACCCATGTCTACCAAGCAAGCATGGTTTTACGGTGGTATAAGAAATTTAACATTTGATTCCAGGATTCTTTTGTTTGGGGCCAGCTCCTGTAGCTGCTGTAAAGAAAGGGGCAATTAATATTGGTAAAGATACACCGTTTGTATTTGCTGAGGTCAATGCTGATTCCATAGACTGGTTGGTAGAAGATCGTGATGAATTTTATGTTCTTAATGTCGTGAAAGACAAGTGAGTCGTTTGTTAAAACATGCAATATGTAAGAGAAAAGTGATATAATTAATTACATCCCTGGACAGAGCAAAATCGCCCGAAACTGAACATCTCAAATTCCCCGCTTAATTATAAGGTCATAATACTAATTCTCGGGGACACTACAGCTATTCACGTTACATGGGTGCCCGGGTGGTTTGGAGTACTGCACGGGGCACTAGTTTCGCGCTGTCCCATTACTAATGGGTTAAGTAAAAGCGAGAACGGTCATATTTGATTAACAGAATATAAAACGAAAGAAATCGAAAAGCAAATTGAAAAGTCTGAGGCCACAATAAAATTACGACAGATATTGATTCCTAACTAATAGGGAAGTGTGCATCTATAGACCTCTTTGATTTAGTTTAAAAATAAAATTTTCGATTTAATTAAATTTGATATGTTGATTTGTTTTCTGAAGTGGCTATCTGTCTACATTTAAATTTTGAAGTGCAAAGATAGAGCAAAATTTGAGATATACCGGTACCTGATTTTATTACCACTGTCAACAATTAAAGCCATAAAGGAAATTTAGTTTATATTTGATACGAAACATCGTATAGATAAATGTTCAATACTTTATGTTTATATACATCAAACGGGTTTAATTCCTTTAAGATGATTATATTAAAATATTTTCTAGAATTGGTAAGAAGATCAGTACTAAGGAACCTACTGGAAAACGTTTTCGTGGTAATTTAAGTTATACTGGAAGACGTGGTAATATTGATAGAGAAGATTTAACATTATTATATAAATATGAAGAAGGTATGTTTCCTTAACATATATCAATTTATTCATTGTAATACCAAATTGAATACTTTTTTGGTGGGCGGGGGGGGGGGGGTATGGTATTAGCCCCCGAGGCCCTGGTCTGAAGGAGCACAAATTGTTCATTGGCATATAATTATTTAAAGGAGCTAAATCTTTATTCTTTGGCACCTAGAAATTGGCACAAATGGGTCACAACGCATATAATAATGTAATATGAATGTATATAAACTGATTTACATTCTGCTTTTACTTTCAATTCTATTCGGGTTTTGTTCGCGAAATATAGTTTTAACTTTTTGGGGGCCAAACTTTTCATATCCCCGCCTGTGGTCACGCGACTGCTTGATACCACTTTCTATTAGGGAAATTGTTATATGTCGGCAAGTTCTAAATATTTGTAGCAATCTGCATTACTATCCATGGCAGGATTTTTTTTTCTGGAAAATAAGACACAGACGTAAGCATTTACATATTACCAGGAAAATAGACACAAGATCAAATTATTTAATTATCAAGATTTTAAATCCCGTGTTATTTTTATCTGAATATTTGCTTCAAACAAGAACATTGATGATCACAGTAAAGGGATATAAAAACAAGGAAATATTGGCCATATTTTGTTTATTTGCATTGCAGCTTTTCGATAATTAGACTGTCTACTTAACTTGTATAACTATTTTCTCATTGTGCTTTGAATGTGCCAAAAGTGTGGGTTTTCTCTAGGCCCCCGATTTTCTCCCACTGCTAAAGACTCCTACGGACAAGCGAATTCCAAAATGACATAATTTGTTTGTAGTGATAAGCTGACATTAAACCCCGTGAACTCTTGTGTACATTATTATTTTCTTGCAGGTACACCGGAGGAGAGGGATGCTGTTGCTTTGGCTACCAAGTTGAGCAACGCAGATAAAAATCCTTATATAACCGATTCAGTAAGTTTGATCTAATGTTACCAACTTTCAGTCATAAGATCATATTAATGAGTGTTTTTTTTATTATTTTATTAAACATGCATTATGTAAGATTTAGATAAAGCGCAAACAGTTAATTGATAAAGGGCAATAACTCCGAAAGTACATAAACAACACTGTGACACTGTGTATAAACATAATTGAAGTTGAAAACCTTAGCCTGTACAGTTTCACTGTTCGTAAGCGTTATAAAAGGGATCAGGGTTCACAAGTTTACATAAGTAAGCATTGCATAATGTAAAGTTATTATAACTTTGAATGTGATCCAGTGCCATAACTTTAGCATTAATCTTCTGATAAATTTAGCCCCCAGAGCGTTCACAAGCAATTAGGGACACCTTACGGATGGACAGGGGTGATTACAATATACGAACCCATTTCAATGTGGGCGTATAAAAAGTACAATTGGAGGGTCTACAGCACAAGTGATCTAACAACCAACTAAAATGGTTGGTAGTTTGATCACTTGTGCTCTAGACCCTCCAGTTTATAATCTATGGATATTCATCAAAGGCAGTTCACCAAAAAAAGAAAGGCAGGGTTTTAACATATTTTTATGTCAAATATACAAATAAAAAGCAACAGACTTAATGCTTATACAAAACATTTATCTTTTTCTTTAAAAGATGATTGAATTAAAGTTAGAAGATCAAGATGAGATTCTTGTTGGAAAAGACTTCAGTTATTCAGTTATGGTAAAGAATGTTGGCGACAAGTCACTAACCGTTAAAGTTGGAATGAAAATAGAATCCATGACATATTACGGTGATGCTGTGGATATGATAATACATAAGAAATTTGGTGAAATGAAAATAGAGGCTGGTCAGGGTTGGTGTTTTTTTATTATGATTATTATAGATTTTAAGTTAGCACTATCGCCATCGACTATCATCACGGTATACATGGAAATCGAAAGCGCTAAGCGCAAGATTGCCAAACCCAAAGGCATCAACAGCATTGATTTCATGAACAAAAACATTGTGCTTCGTTCTAAATAAGCATTGTTAGCTATCGGCATTCCTCGATAAATTCAGTTAATTTCAAACATATTTACCAGTTTAAAGTTTGCTTGAAATTTTTTTAGACATTAACTATCTATTGAAGGAAATGGCTATGGACATTTATTTTAAGCCAATGTCATTTTTATACCCACACATGGAAATGTGGGCGTATATTGCCGTTGCCTGTGCGGTCCGTTATACACACTTTCTTGTGAACACTCTACAGATTACATTTATCACCTGATTGTTTTGAAATTCATATCCCTATGTTGTTTACATTACTGGAATAAGAAGCCCATTTAATTTCAATAATTTTTGTTATTTTCTTCTGGAATTATGGCCTAGTTTCATTTTATTGCACCCTGTGAACGCTCCAACGACAAAAATTATCATCCAATCTTTATGAAAATTATATGCATCTTTTAAATTAGCTAAACGAAGAATCTATTGAATTTCAGTATTTCCGTCAATTGCGTTATGAACCTTGTTTCACTTTGCTGAACCTTGTGAATGTTTAAAACAGTTATCATCCTATCTGTATGAAATTTATATGCATAATTTAAGTTAGTGAAACAAAGAAATCTATTGTATTTCAGAAATTTCCGTCAATTGCTTCTAGAGTTATGACCTTTGTTATACTTTGTTGAACATTGTGAATGCTCGAACCACAAAAGGCATCATCTGATCTGTATGAAATTTATATGTATTATTTAAGTTAGTAAAACGAAAAGGATTGTCCAATATCAACAATTCCTTTGCACATTACTTCCAGAGTTAAAGCCCTTGTATCAATTTATAGTACCTTGTGATCCCTCAAAGTACGAAAATTATAATCTGATCTGTATATAATAAAATTTTCTTGTAAATTCCCCCCATCATCACCTACAAAAGATTCAATATGCGATAACCCGTGTTGGCCGACGGACGATTTAGCTGTTGTGGGCTTATGTTTCGTTGCACGGCAACCTATCTGTATAGTTTGGTAATCATATTGATTTAGGTATTTAAATAGAGATATAAGCTTTATGCTTAATATGTAAGTATTGTATAGAGTGAAGCGTAGGCTTAAGAGTATCATCGTCTTGAAACTGACAGAGCACTGCCTCACCATCATCTACCAAGGTCCTTGTCCAAATCGTTAGTGGGGATTCGTCGTCAGTTCAAACATTGTCATAGATCTCGGTAGCTGTAAGCGTCGCCAATGCACATTATCAGCACCTTCATCGAAATCGTCTGTGCTCAGAATCAGTATTATCATGATTGTATAAGCGCATTACCGAATCAGCATTGTCATCACCATGGAATGATTAAATATGTTTTATATATATATATTGTCTTTTCAGAAACAAAAATAAAATTGGATGTACCAGCTGATCTATACCTACCTAAGGTTATTGAACATTTTGCCATGAAAGTAACAGCAACTTGTTTAATTATAGAAGAACATAGACGAGTTATACTTGAAGATGATTTCAGATTACGTCGACCAGATTTAACGATAGAGGTAATAAGGGGGATATTGTCTTTCTTCTCAGACATTGACCTATAATTCAATTAAATGGATAATCATATCAGAATACAAAGTGATCTCCCAAAATTGTTAGCCGTGTGAATAAATAGGCATGCCATGTGCCCGCCAACTGTTACTGATTGCACATATAGAATGTCTCACGTTTTGCGCACACACCAAGCTTTGGGATAATCATCAATAATAATGTCGTGTCCTTGAATCTATATAGTAGTACTAGTACTAGTAGGCCGAAACCATGTTAAACTGGTTTCTAGTTCTCTGGATATTGATAAAATTCACAAATAATTATACAGAAAATAATTTGGGGTTTAGCCATCATTTTACAAACAATAGTAGGTGCTTTATAAGCCTATAATGTGGCAAGCTAGTTTTCTTGAGAGGCCGTTGATAGCATGTGCTCAGACTGTATAGGAAACTATCACAACGGCAGACAAATCACATAGTGAATTCTCACTTTTCGTGATGCATAACATAACGTTTTAATAATTAAAAAAAACTAGAGAAAGTCCAAGTACGTATGTGATGAAGCAAATCAGAAGCTACGACATGACAATGACAATATAAATTTGTATAACAGTAACAGTTAAGAGGTGCTTGTGAAATGACAAGCTTCAGCAATATTTCTATCATCATTTGGTTATCTTTTATATTTATATAATAATTTTTCAGGCCCCTGAGACTTGTAAACCCGGTGAAACTATTAAAATTAAAGTTTATTTTGATAATCCAATGAACAAAACACTAACAAAGTGTAAACTTATGATAGAAGGAAGTCTTAGATCAACTGAAACAACAAATGGTGGATCAATTAAATTTCCGTAAGTACAATATGGGAAAAAACCATGAATTATTTAGAAAGGGATTTAATTTCAACTGGGATGTTTTTTTATTAACATTCAGTTATATTTATTAACTAGTTACAGTCAAAATGAAATGAAATGAAATGAAATGGGGTTTAACGTCCTACTGTTCTGCTCCTATGCTGGGCTAATGAAGACGGGCATACGCCATACAGTGTGCTATGAGGGAAATTTTGCCCGGGCAGCGGCACAATCGCCTACTCTTATCGAATCCAACTGCCAAGGGATCTTTTACGTGCATTCCAATGTATACACGGGACCTCGGTTTTTTGTCTCATCCGAAGGACTAGACAGCTGTCCTTGTTAGGCCCTCCGTCCTGCATCACTGACAAGGGGGAACCACGCCGGAAAATCTGGATGAACTTTCTCGGCCAATGCAGGGATCAAACACCCGACCTCCAGGCTAGCGAGCCAGCGTCTTACCTACTTAGCCACGTGATCCCCCAGTTACAGTCACGCAACACTCTTCGAATTTAATATGTTCATGGTCTGGTTGCTTGTCCTATTCGAAAGACTAGATACATTTTCTTTGTGAGCACTGCAAATCGGAAGGTTGGCTTGCAAATTTGACTCTTAACAATTATATATTTCATTTTTCAGTGATGTTCCTGGTAATTCAAGATGGGAAACAATTTTAACAGTCAAACCTAAAATCAAACCAACCCATATAAAAGAGAGAGATCTATTTCTTAGTTTTGATTGTGTTGAATTGCCAGATATTGTTGGTTTTCATGGATTAGATTTATCCGACTAAATCAATGGAAAAACGACAGATGTTTATATTAACTGGTCGTATATGTAGATATTGACTAAATATTATATTATTCACAGTATTATGATACTGTTGTGCTTATAATCAAACAATAATATCCGAATCATTATATTATCTTAATTTTCATATTGTTAATAATAATAGAAATTTATAAATGTTTTAATCCGACCATCTATTCTTCCCACAAAACTTTTTTTTTTTTATTGAAAAGTATATTTTTTTAGGAACAAGAAAAATAAAATATGCTAATTATTATAGATCATGAAAAAAATAAATGATGGTAATTATTTTACATTAAAATAAATGATGATATTTAATATACATTAAAATAAATTATGTTAATTATTATATATCTACAACCACAGATCTGAAATTTGATTGTCAGTCCCTGGTTGTTAAATAGAGTGGGTTCATCCACTTCTTATTTTACTTGTTATTTACACTGGCTCTGTGTTGAAACTTGTCGTATTTAAAATATGCTTGCAAGGTTTTTAGACACAAATATATTATGTTTTTTCAATCAGTGATTATGTATTTTTAAAAGCTCTTGATTTTCATTCATTATAGTATTATTCTGTGACAGTATTTAATTTGTATTTAATAAAGGCTATACTACACGCTCTCTTTGACATTATTCTTGGGGACAGGGCCTGTCAGTGCAGCGACCCAAAATGGGAGAAAACAATCATACACTCTCACAATAATGATTCAAGGGAGATATAGATCCCCAGCCCAGAGCACTTTGGTCAAACGAACAGGGTACCCTATCATATTCAGATATGGATGTCTGTTTGATTAATAAGCAATGATTTTAGGTTTGATAATAATACATACATGTACTCATAAATAATTTTCTTATATTATTATCATTAATTTGATTGGCAAGAAGGCAATCTAACACTGATTTTCAACGGATTTAAACACGATTGCTAGTTGATGATTTAATTTAAAAGTGGATAATCGAGTCTTTGTTTACTATCGTAACAACGGTAGCAATGGCAATCGAGACTACACTGTTTTTCTAACGACAATAACTTTACACAGAATGAAGTAATTTGACTGAAACTTCGGCTATTAGAAAGTTGAATTGTATAAAGAGTGGCGTGGCGATCAATCTAATCCCGGGTGTCAATGTTTAATTTCATATTGTTTGACGACATGATAACATGTGAGAAATGACAAGATCTCTTTAATTTGAGCAAAAATTAAAGGTGTTGAATTGCTTTGTTAAGTGGGCATCTTTCTACATTTAAAATTGTGGGTCCTCAGATAATGATAGTCCATTGTCTGCTGCATTCCATTGATGTTGTTTTTATGGTAAACATAAGTTTTCCACTTAAACATAATGTTCAAATCATGGTACAAGTCTTATATTCAGTGGCATAGACATACATGAAGTTACTAAAAAGGGGTGCTTGGATATACATGTATATGTTTGCTTGTTGGGTTCAGGGAGTTGTCTCCTTTTATTGCAGTTTTACTGAATATTGTTGGAATGATTAGATTAATATCTAGTTTGATCTGGTACAAAATTTGATTATCTCAACATCGTACAACTGATGCATACTGTAATCATCAGAAATACAAAAGTACAACCCCCACCCCCACATTTATGCCCCTGCTCATTTTCTTTTGCTATTGGAAAACTCTGGTCTGCAAATAGAAAATGTGAGGTAAGTATGTCATGATTGTTTTGGACATGCCGAGTTGGGTTGTTAATGGTAAAGAAATGAGAAACTTGAAGACCCTTCTACATCTGGAATTATGACATGAACAGTGTGTATAGTTGTCCGCATGTGAAAAAAACAAACAACTGTGCCTGTATACAAATTGGTTGTGTGTATAAAAAATGTAATCAAATCAAAATTGTACCTGTAAAAACTTTTCTTTCGGTAATACCAGATTATTATTGATTTCTGATCCATAAAAAACTACAATAGAGAATATCTTTTGAAATGCTTTGATTATCAAAACATTTGATTTGGTGAAGATACTATTATTATGCGGTCAAGCAAGCCCCGAACAAGATTTTCTTCAAACATGTTTTTATAAGTTAATGGTAGGACAATCATATAAAATAAACGAAATGAAAATAAAATGTGATTTTTAAATTTGAATGATTATGGTGAAGAGTAAACAGTACTAAATAAATAATTCTAGAATAAAACTAAACAAACTTTATTACGAATATATTTATTTTATATACAATGGTTTATCTGTTGTCTTCTACTACGATCACACGTGATGGATAACCATCTAACTCCACATATATAAAACACACCTCATATTTCCCACGATCATTCTAAAAAGAAAAATACACCCCAAAACTGTTTACATTTAGCAATTACAACCATAGTCTAATTCACATGTTCCAAAACAAAGAAAGTTTCGAACAAAATCCACAAATTTAGTTATTAAAATTCCAAATCGTTTTTAAGGTTCATAAAGTATGCAGCCATAACAAAACAAACATAAAGAGATATTTATGGTCAAAACCAATGAAATTGCTTATCTCTGCTTAGCCGTCTGCTTAGCCTAAGCAGAGATGCTCATTACCAAACCCATTCAAGACACACACACCTAATGAACTTTGAACATTGTACTTCAATTAGAAGCAGAGTTTTTGTTTGCTTATCTCTGCTTGACCTAAGCATCAGCTTGACAAAAATCTACACCAAGTTTCAACATCTACCTCAATTAGAAGCAGAGTTATCGTATTCCTAATAATACAAAACCAATTACTTAAATATATGAGAAGTGTAATCCGGTTTTCTAGAAGGAATAAGCCCAGTTTTCCATGTACCCATTTTCCATGCATTTTCTCACATCCTACTATGCACACATCCATGCCCAACTGGATGCTTATGAGTTCCAGCCTAGTTTTTCTTACAACATAACGGTACAGCAATATTCAGGCAGCATTTCCTACCCTGTGGCTGTGGTATATAATATATAATACCTGTTTAGATTCTAATGTAACTGTCCCTTTTTTATGAGGACCTTCAATATAAAATTTCATTCGAATGTGTTTCACACCATCTTCCATAAATTCTAAATGACTGTAAGTAAAAAAATAAACATTTTAAGGTTAAAACACCTGGTTTGTTTACTGAAATTACTTATATTTTATACACATATATGTTTACATAATCAAAATCAAACAAAACAAGCCAACAGTGAGACAGTTGTCCCCCTGCTTTAAACCCAAAATAAATAGATAACATATATTAATTACTTTCATATTTATCATTTTATAAAGCATCAAGCATTCAAATTATTTGTAACTTTGCTAGTCTGCTTGATTTTCAAAATAGATTTAAGGACAATGAGTAGTCTAAGGTAACAAATAACTTTTCAGCACCAATCGTATTAAGACTTTGGTACTTGTTCCATGTGTAAAATAACCCAGAGGACATATAACAGTCTGACTGTTGTGTTATAATGGGGATACAACAAGCAGAAAGAAAAAATCTATTTATAACAGACGAGAAGGCTTCCCCGACCTAGATAAGTTGTTAAATAAATTATGACATTGTACACATCGGTCACATGATCCGTAGTAAACAATCATGGCTGATTCCAGCAACAGTTTCAAAATGGCCTTGTCCAAACTAAGTCAGGTGACAAGATGGAATTCCCTCTAAGACCCAAATATCCAGGTCCTACCATCTATCACGACAGAAACATTGTTCATGCCAAATTTGATGAAAATCCATGCAGGTATAACTGATAAAATTCAGCACCCTTTATTATCGGGCTTTTGGGCCAAGTTTGAAACATAGTTGGTAAATAAAATTGGTATTTTCTTAGTGATTGATAAGTGGTTTATCAATCCAAATGACAAAAAATGTCATATCTTATGAACAAAACTTACAATACTAGCTTTAAAATGCTCATTTTAGAGTACTCAGAGTCCTTAAGATCTATGTCAAAACCACCTTCTTGATTGCCTATAAGATCAAAAATGACTAAAAATGGCTGAAAGATTCAAATGAAGGCCAGAAAAAGAGTCCAACGACAAAAGACACAACTTCCATTATATACAAAATATGTAAACTGGATTGCAGAATTAAACTCATCCAGTGTTTATTAACGGGCACAAAATCTATTAGCTATGGAAAAGAATTAACTTTTTGAAAAGTCTTATTAACATGAGAAAATCTTAAAAAAAGACAGACAAAATTGGGCTTTTTCTTGGCAGTGGAACAAGTTAGAAACTAATTGTTTACATCTATTACATTGTATTGATTCATTAAACAACGAATAAGACTCAATTGAATATAATATATGCTTCAAACACTAAAGATATCATACATGCAACAATAATTCTGCTACATTTTATCTTTAATTCAGTTCAAGCCAATTAATACTCAGATGTGCTTAATTGCATGATAATAACAGAATAGCACATATTTTTGAATTTTCAAATACAAGGTATTGTGTATGATATGGCTGGTTGTGCCTTTAAACGACAATTACCTAACATGTCGTCTTCTGCCACGTCTTGTTGTTTCACCATAACCTTTAATTGGTTGCCCTAAAGCATCAATTATCTATAAGAAGAGATAAGCATATTTACATAATTCCAGTATGATAACCAAACAAATAATACTATATGCAGAAAAGACAGTTTCTTAACCTATAGATGGATAACATGACCATTCAGGATGTATATTGTCTTTATAGTCTGTCTGTTTTATGTTGTTGTTTTTTTAAAAAAAAAATATTTAGGGTTATTAAGAGATTCAGACATTAGGTTTCATGATTTAACAAGACAGTTCACCTAAAATTTACAAGATAGGTTGCCATGCTATGAAACACATACTCATAGCAGCCAAGTCGTAGGTAATGGGAGCATTAACAAGACACAGAAAAAATGACAAGAGTAGCAATCAGAGTAATTATCAAAAATAATTGAAATTTAATTTGCCTTCTATTTCTTCCTGATTTATTATACAGAACATGTAGCAGTAAACAGATGATGAGTTTAGGTTCATATAAACACTGTGTATTAATTTCAAATCAATCCTGTACATAAAGCTATGCCAATCAGATAACTTTAGCCTCTAGAATGGCCATAAGATTTTTCAAATTGATCAAGGGCCATAATGCCAACAGTAATTATTGGAAAATCAATAGGATTCTTTATCTTATGAAATGTGAACTTCAGCACTGTGTATAAATTTCAAGTCAATCGCATGATAACTGTCCCCTAAAACAAATGAAATGAAATGGGGTTTAACGTCCTACTGTTCAGCATGAAAAAAAGACAATGAGAGAAAAATTTAAAATTTAACTTTTGATCTTTTTTTCCCTAATAATTATTTCCATACCTGTGTATTCTGTTTACATAGTTTTAAAGCGCTACCATAGATACCACTCGGACTTGAACTGGAGAATAATTCCTGGCCAACAGCATAAACTATCACCCCTGAAATACAGTATATAAAATCTGTGATAAGAAATATATTATTAATATATCACAATTATGTGGAAATACAATATTTTAAAAACCTTTTAATTTGCTTGAAAATTTGTTTTTTATCATACCGACATAGGCTAGGCCTAAAAATCAATCGCTAATATCTTGGTTCAGGGTGGAGAAATTTTCAGCATATTCTCTTTACCTCATCTATTTTTTAACTATTAAATCAAGAACTGTCAGCTCTTTATCTAATCTCCCATAATGTCCCTTTAAATCTGGTTTGGACCAGAATAATCAAAATGTTTTTATAAAGAATATGGGGACCCTTCGGGACTAAACCTTATAGAATTGTATAGCCATCTAATGCAAAAGTTCTTAAATTTCCATTAAAAATGGTTCAAAGAACATCCTGCAGCGTGACATATCATTTATGTCTCAGTCGGGATCAGTCATTGAAAGCCCAATTATTTGTATTGTAACATTTCTACCTACATATCAGCCTTTTAAATGATTTGATTGGCTTTTTTGGAGGATGTAGGCTGCGGCATGGGCTATTTCCGAGTAGGATAATAGATGCCATTTCTCTTGGGAGGGCTTGCTAAATTGAACAATGGTGGGGTCATAAACCGTTATACAAACGATTAAATTTCGTTTTGGTGAGGTAAAAATAATTTTCACTCGGCTTTGAGCGCTCATATTTTTATAAGGCGTATAAGGACCAGAATAAATTTTCGGTCTATACGATTATGGTGTTCTACATGCAATCAAAATCGTCTAAATTTGCTATTCAAATTCCGGATTATTTTGACTCCGGTATAACAGTATAAATTTGTTGTTCAATTCATGGAGTAGTTTGTACTCCGGTGTAATGGCTGAAGGCAGAACAAACTCTTGCTTTCTGATCGGCAGATATACTCCGGTAATGTTCCGGACGTAAAATCTATCTGAGTCGTTTTGGTAACGGGTCAACTTCTCCCTCGGTAATGTTTGACTCTGGGTTCGGTTTCTCGTTTGAGGTGACCAGAGCTATGAAATTCTTAGCTGGTAAGGTTACTCTGCAGTGAGTATAATAAGATTAGAAATCTATGAGTGGCGAGTAGCCATCCCAGATTCTCTCATGAAGCTACTAGTTTCATTCATTTTGAACTCATCAGGCTTAAATGAAATTGTGTGTGTGAAATAGCTTTATTTAACGTCCGCTTCCACCGAGGTGATATCGCAGACAAAATGAAATTGTGCGGATGTTATAACGGCAATTCTTTAGCCGCCTCTTTGTTCACCATTAAACAGAAGCAGTTGCTCCGGTGATACAGCACTGCACAGGTCAATCCAAGATCCCTTTTGTGCTCCGGTCCCCGACAACTATATAAAGGGAACATCCGCACAATTTCATTTAAGCCTGATGAGTTCAAAATGAACGAAACAAGTAGCTTCATGAGAGAAATCTGGGACAGCTACTCGCCACTCATAAATTTCTAATTTTAATTATGTAGGGTTTCTTCTGAATTTTTCTTCTTATTGTTTTCATCCAGTTCAGAGTAACTAGATTACTCTGATATAATGAAAACATTCATTGTAACTAACTTACCCAATACACCTAATCCAAGCAGTATAACACCTATATATGATGCATCTTTACCAGCTTCTTTAACTGAATCAAAATAATGTTTTTAATTATTAAAAAAAACACAGAACTTCTATACAAAATATGTTGATAAACTTCTGCTCATTATAGATCACTACTGGAAATTTAACTGCAATGACAAAGAATCAAACATGTTGCAAAAATGGGTAATTTCTAGTTTTGGTTAAAGAGAGTGTTGAGTAATAGAAGCGTTATGTTAGTGTTCTGAATACCCTAGCATCTAAATCGTACCAGCAGTCAAGATGGCAAAATCTTTAGATGGTATAATACCATTGCTGAAATTCAATAGGATTCTTTGTTCTGGTAATATAAATAATGCAGATAAATTCCATCCAGATCAGATGAGATGATAACTATTGTCATTAAAGTTGTCACAAGGTTCTACAAAGTAAAACAAGGGCAATTACTTCAGCAGTAATTAACGGAAATTGTTGAAATTACATACATGTATAGGCTTCTTAGTTTTACTAATTTAAATAATGCATATCAATTCAATAGAGATCGGAGTTCACAAATTATCAAAAATCGTCTGCTCTAAGTCTAAGTAATTTACCCTTTCAAGATAATTTGCTTTATGCACTGATCAAAATGTGGACTCTATTGCGTTCACAGGATACATTTATGACCTTTTAGCCAATTTAAGGTCAATAAGTCTGCAAATTTGAACTTGCATATAAAACATATTAATTTTCATGAAAATCAAATGAGAAATATGGACTTTATCGCATTCACAAACATACATGTAGAGGAAATCATGATTGATTGAAAAATCATGATTCAAAATGGTCTGATCATGAGATCTCATGTATGTAAATTAATACACCAAGTTTTATCTGATAACAACAACACACATCAACATGAAATGTGGGCATATAAAAAGCTAGCTTTTGTACCTAATGTCAAACTTCTTGTTTGAATGGTAGTCCTGTACTTCAAGGTATAGGTCAGTTGATCGATTGGACTATTACCGTATTTTTCAGTGTATTAGGCGCACATTTTTTTACCAAATATTTTATTTTCCAGAAGGGGTGCGCCTAATACAAAACGTTAAGCAAATCCAGGCTTTTCCCGTGTTGACATCGAAGTCATAAATTCAAGAAATAACTGCCCTAGAATCAACACATGTCGACCAGGTGACGCTACCTCAAAAGCTTATGATGTATTATCACTCAAATTAAATACAATAATATATTGTTCCCTTTCGTGTCCATTTATATTTGTCAATAATGTTTTAGATATGTTTAAAAAGCATCTATATTTGTCAATAACCTTTTAGATACTGTTAAAATATGTCAATAATTATCGCCTGTATTTCTGTTATTTCATGCATAAAAAAGATGTCGACATTTTCTGCTATTCTGTGTATGGTAGGTATACTGTTTGTCATAACCGGCAATGCAAACACCATTGGCTGATAGCCGTTCAACTTTATTATGTATCGTTAATATTTCTTGCTATTTCTACATCATATATTTCTGCTATTCCGTATACTCTTGGCATTTGAAGGTAAGGACTGGAAATATTAAATGCACTCACAAAATTGCATGTACCCAGGTCAAATTAAGTATAAGAGACTTGTTCAAGATTAAATTTTCATAAAGATATAGGTATGGTACATAATTATTTATAGCCATAGGCTACAGAAGTTTTTTATTGAGTACTGGTAGGCCTAAGTTTTTGTGTAATTCAAATGGGTACTGGGTATTAGTTTAAAGGAGCTAAATCGCTAATATCTGGGATCTAGAAATTGACAAAAATGGGTTCCAACACATATGATAATATAATATGAATATATATATATATATATAAACTCATTTGTATTCAATCGTTTCTGTTTTTACTGTAATTTCTAATGCTCTAGCATCTGGTTATTCCAGTCTACACTGATAGTATTTATTGTGCATACTCTCCAGATAAGAATATGGCATCACCATGTTACAAATGGTGCTAAACCGCATCGGTACACGATTCGTGTACCAATGGTAAAATGTTTATCTTGTCTTAAATACTGATTATGAGAAGCCCATCTTTTCCCGGTAAGATCACAACATCAATGTTGATTTAATAAATTGACAAATAATATGTGTTTTCAATGTTGAAGACTTTGGATGATAATGCATTATTAGAGACTTTGAATTTGACTTCTTGAAATGCCAACAAAGCAATGATTCATTCATTTCTGTTAATGCAAAATTTACCATAACAGAAATGAAACTGACGAGATGCCAATGAATGATGTTAGCAGCAACTACGCACATACCCTTTTCACCTAGTGTCAACCCAGCATATGCCCCTTCTTTCGATTCAACAATTTCGTTTTTATTTTCCTTCTGAAGGTTATAACTGAATGTAGTAAAGTTCCTTGCAACTAATTTACTGTTTGAAAGTTTGTTGCCGTGATTGTTTCTAACATGTGTGTTAACGTTAAAAGAACTAAATGAAACATAGTTCAGTTCACTTTTTGACAAACTTGCTACCTTTGACAGCTTTGATATAATAGGGTTTATCGAGTTTCTAATAAAAATAAACATGACTGATCAAGGAATAATTGATCCACATGAATAAAATTGAATGACAGTGTAGCTAGCAGTTCAAAACATTTCTTCGTTTACATCTTGGAAATTAAGACAAAAAGGCAAAGAGGGCAACTTTCCGCAGTTGCTGAGAGTTATCTCAGTTTTCAGGGACAGATAACTCCCACCACCATTCGACGGAAGTTGGCTTTAAGAAAAGTAATTCACGTTTACACTTTTTGAGTACAGTTTTAACTGTTCATGTAAATGTTGTCAAATTATGAAATGTTGTTCTTCTGAACTACACTGAACTTGTTTTACGGCTAAGTTGGTAAGATATAGCGGCTGTCCTGTTAAATTTGTTGTTGTGGTTTAGTTTCGTTGACGTGTTATAACTTGTCACAGACGGAGTACTCTGTACTGAGTACTGACAGTAGTACAGTCACACTCTGTGACTCTTATTCATTCTCTCTCAATTGTCACTCAATTGTCATTCTTTTAAACTCACAAATCACACAACATTCGGCCATTCTGGGCATGTTGAAAAAATTCTTTCACTTTGGGTTTTTTCTTCATTTGCCAAAGGAATCATTTCTTGTTGCAGCTGACCCACATTTTTAATAATTCAACACTATTTTCAAGTAGAATTTTGCAATTAAAAACATACAAATATGTTTGAATTGATCAGCCATTACAAGACTCAAACATGCGCAGACCGCATGTTTATTTAATCGCTAAATTCTACTTGAAAATAGTGTTCAATTATTATAAATTTGTGTCAGATATGGTGAGGAATAATTCCTTTTATGCGAAAAATAAAAAATAGAAGGTAATTGTTCCAAAATAGCCTGAGAACAGAGGTGTGGAAGAGTGTTTTTTTGCAGCTATATAGGAAGATATATGAACTGTTAGTGGACATCGTCCGATCAGGGACAGCTCCTAAAGGAGCTACCCATAGATATACATGTACCATTAATTTTTATACTAAATAAATAGTTAATAGTTTAATGCTTGCCAACAGATTGATATTTGTTTAACTGCACGACATTACCGATATGCACAAATAACAAAATTATCGGCCAAGGCTAATACTTATCAGCTTATCTCTATTTTTAAAGGTTACAGTATTGACAAGCAATCAATAATATAAAACTTTTCGCTCTACATTTCCACTTTCACTATTCACCGGCCACCAGAGATTTTTTAAACCATCCAGAAAATTAAAATGTAGCCTAGACATCATATCCAATGTGGGAGCCACAGTAGTAGCTACTAGCTAAGTGAGAAATTGTACATGTATTGCAGCTGGAAGGTAGGGGAATTGTGCTGCCGTTTTTGCTCTACCACCAGTGATCGTTTGACCGAACCACAAGCCTTTAAATAGAGCTTTTTCAGAGGAAAGGGAGGACTAGCTAAAAAAGTATCTGTGCTCAGTAGTATCTCTGTAATATAGAGTTTTATTATGTGGAAAGCTCAAAGCTGTACAAATAGGGTTTGATGAGGCTGGGAAAACACTTTTATGCGATTAAAAATACATAATGGGAGATTAGATAAAGAGCTGGCAGTTCTCACTATAATAGATAATGTAAAGGGAATTTGCTGAAAATTTTGGTCAAATTGATCCACTCTGAATCGAGAATTTAGTGATTGAATTTTGGGCCTAGCCTTGATCATCATTACTAAAGTCGGCATGATAAAAAAACATAGTCTCGATTATCCAATTCTTGATTTAATCATGAATGAGCGTTGAGCAGCAGATTGGATCCTAATCCGGAATATATCGCAGGCTAGCGATGAGATCGAGAGTTGATTATGGTCTGGATAAGTTAATTAATGTCTAATTAATTATTTAGATATCATTTGAGGCCTAAAGAAAGATCTGTGTGGCCGAGTTTACAAAGCATTCTCAGACTTAAGTTTAGAATTTACTCAATTTTCAATCACTGTTTATGAGAAATATCTTTGATCCAAAAAGACAAAACTTTGCACAAAGTTTCTTATTGATGTATTTGATACATTAAAACAACAAAAGTTTTATAAAGGGCTATGTTTTAGTAAAAGTAAGGCCAACAATTTTGAGTAAATTCTTAACTTAAGTCTGAGAATGCTTTGTGAACTCGGAGCCATAGGCAGATTTTGCTCTTGCATAATGTGTGTTGAAAGAGTAGTAAAATGTACTGTAATGTACACAGAATTAACCAGTTTTATGTATTAAAATATATCTGCAAGTGGGATTTCTCCTTTAGAATATTTTGTAATACAAATAATATAATTATTGTTATTTCCAGGTACAGATTGAATGACATTGAATCAGTCTTAGAAATGATGGTTTAGATTGACATGATGGAAAAATTACATTTGGATATAAAAATGCCTGAAATAACACTTATAAATCTTGTAAATTGGGTAGCTGCATCTGCTATGATATTTGGCGGAGTTGTGCCCTTCATACCACAATATATGGACATAAAAAGAAGTAAAAATGCAGAAGGATTTTCACTCTTCGTCTGTCTAACATTACTAGTAGCCAATATTTTAAGAATAATGTTTTGGTATGTATTTGTTATATCATATGCCCACATTTAACGACACATCAGTCTGTTGCTTTTAAATGCAGTAGAGCTATGTTTTGTTTTAAGCCTTGTATGTGTGTGACTTTCTAAGCTAAATCCATGAGATTTCAAATGAGCTTAAATCTTGATTCTTGACATAGCCAAATTTTTCAAAATAAAGTAGTGATGGCAAGAGTCTTTCCAGTTTTAATGAAGCTTGGCATGCTTCTTTATATATGAGTGAAATCAGATGAGTTATTTACATACAAAATATGTCAGAAATACAATATCTATCTTGTGAATGCACATGTTTTTTGATTCATTCTGCTTATATTCAAACCCAATACTTCTACAATGTAATGATTATTTCTACAAAACTAAAAAAAATTGTCTGTTAACTTTATGAATATAAGTTTTTGAAATAAGACTGTTCGCTTTTATGGGCAAGTTTATTTAGTGAGGTGACAAATTAACAAACTTAGTTTTAACCAATTTACTTGTATAAGAATGGTAAATATTTACTTGTATAAGAATGGTAAATATTTACTTGTATAAGAATGGTAGATATTTATTTCTATAAGAAGAATGGTAGAAGCTAAGTTATTTAAATGTGAGCCCATATCATTCTGTATTTTTTTCAGGTTTGGTAAGCATTTTGAACTGCCATTATTAGCTCAGAGTTTTATTATGGTGTTTGCTATGTTGGGTTTGGTTGAGTTATGTGTTAGTGTAAAACGAAATACAGAAATTATCAGCTTAAAACCAAGAAGATTTTTAGGTTAGTGTTGGTAATTATTATTGTCATATATGGTACTGCATTGGAAGAGAAAATTTTGATTATATTAAGGACGAAAGAGGCAGTGGTATTCCAGTTATCTTTGACCATATATACAGGACCTGTTTGTTGAAGAAGCCAGTATGTTAATATCTTTGCTCAATTCAGGCTTTTCGTTTACAAGAAATTAGGTCACTTAGGTATACTTACCGGTAAATATAAGAAGCTTGGTGTTAAGTTTATACAAGGACCGAAAAACATTTAACAGTCTATGTCAGAGTGGATAATTTTAAAACATAAAAGTACCACTGCCTCTTTCAAGCTATCATGAAGTATTGTTACATTTAGGTTAAGACGATATAGGCCTAACAGTTGTAAATGTAGTTTCTATGAGGAACAAGCCAGATTGATCAACTGTGTATCTTTAAAGTAGCTAAGTCTCTAACTCAGTATCATTAAAAAAGTCTTCGACACTGAAAACACAAATTATTTGTCAATTTAAATCAACATTGATGTTGTGGTCTTCCTCCTGACTAAGATGGGCTTCTGATATCCAATATTTAAGACAAAATAAAGATTTTACCATTGGTACACGAATCGTGTACTATAATGCGTTTCAGCGCCATTTGTAACAAGGGACTCAAAGAACGAGACTAGACATATCCCACAAGTCATGTCAAGCGGTGACATCATATTCTTAAATGGAGAGCATGCGCAATAAATACTTTCGATGAAGACTGGCATAACCAGATGCTAGAGAGGAATAACCAGATGCTAGAGATTGCCATTCGATTGAGACTGGCATATTTCGCTAAACATAGCTAATTTGAAATTAAGAGTAAAAATGGAAACGATTTAATGTAAATCAGTTTAAATACATTCATATCACATTATTATATGTGTTGCGACCCATTTGTGTCAATTTCTAGGTCCCAAATATTAGCGATTTAGCTCCTTTAAGGTCAAAAATATGTACCATGCACATGCAAGAAAAACAAAGACCTTCATGAAGAATGGACTGGTTGTACGAAAAAGATAGAATTGTTATTACTTTATTTGTCTAAGACATAAAATGACTGTGTTTAATCAATAGAAACTTTACGTGAGCTTAACATGAGGTAGAATTAATCTGTTTGAATAATTTTTGTACCATGAGACAAAAAAGCCTGTTATTGTCACAGTGATTACCCTTGATCACTGCTGCTCTTGAGTCTGAAGTTGTCACCTGAATCACTTGGAATTTTTTTTACAGTGTTTAGGTTCAGGAGGCTGACAACTCAGCAGATGTAGGTGTATATTTTGTTACCTGGCAACCCATCTTTAGCTAAATGAAAATACTTCATGATTAGTTTGTGGTCATTGTTGGAAATATTTAATAAATTCATTTGATAGAATTAAATATTATGGTTTAATTACATTCAAATTTATTTATTTATTTATATGTGTGACATGATTGTGGGGCTTGAATAAATTTGAACAAACGTTTTTATTATAAATAATTTTGTCTGTCTTTAAATACTTTCTACCCTTTATTTATGTATTGACTAACTATTCCCATTAATGCATTACTATTTGATTCAATTTCTTTTATACAGATTCTAACTCATCACATACATTTCTTGGTAACTTTTTCTTCATTTTTTAAAAAATTTGTAAAAAATATATGTTGTCTTTCTTTAAATTTCAATCATTTTCTTTTTATCATTTTTATGTATCATTTGTGTCAATTTCCCCTAAATCCTTTTTACCTTTATAATAATTGGTAAGCTTTGTCATGAACTTTTTTGTGTTCTATTTATGTTTCTTGACAGTTAAGTAGGTAACTACATAGGATCCAACAACATTGTCACAGTGTATTAACTGATTAGCTAGGTATAGGGGTCAAATTTGATAAGATGTTTGTTTTATCAAGGGAAAAGATTTTGTTTTTTTAAGAACATAAAAAATGGACTGACAGCCTACTTTTGTACTTACTGTCACACCTTGTCCAACTAATGATAATATAACAGAAGACCAAAATATCAACAGGATTATATAGAACAATCTGACAAAAGAAATTTGGGGGCTGTGTTGTTACTAACGAGCAAAGAAAACCCAGGCATCATGTCCCATTGGTGAAGGGTATATACGGAGTGCTTTTATGACATTTTACGTATTATTTTAGATGTTTAATATAATTAACTCGGCTTCATCAATTTGTAAGTTAACTCATCCAGAGTTAACAATAGAAATAGATTGGCTAGTTTTTGCTACTTCCTTGAATTGATAAAAGCAAATAGATATACTGGTACAACATTATGACCTTAGAATACAGATTTCTAAATTAAAATCAAACCATCAAAATTAGGTTAAAGCAGTTGTGAAAATTATCTACTTCAATTATCTTCAAATTTAAGTCTTATACATACATGTACTGAACTGAACTTGAAAAAACAGGTAAATATGGTTTGGATAATTTTGGCGAAATCAGATGAACATATAGTTTAGTTAACTGGAGGTTGTATGTATATGTAGACATAGCTTTTTAAATTCAGTTCCGAAGATTTTATATAGCTTTATGCAACTGATTAAATGTAGTCAAGTACATTATATTGAGTTGCCGTATATAGTAAATTATACGCAGATGATTTGTAAAACTATATTCCCCCACCGACATTTGCTTTATAGGCTATATGCTAGTCATGTTTATATATTTATTAAAGATGTTGTTTTAATTCTTATGTTGTGAGTGAATTATAAAATTGATACTGACTGAACGATTTGTTTATTTGGCATCTAAATACTAAAAATAACTAATACTAATTTTCTCTAATCTTGTTAGCTATGCCTAAATTGTATAATTTTTGCCAAATCTATTATTTTACCCGTTTTTTATCTGTCAATTCTACGTCCAGCCAAATCTATTAACATTTTAAAATCTATTATTTTATACATTTTAAAATCTATTATTTTATACATTTTAAAATCTATTATTTTATACATTTTAAAATCTATTATTTTATACATTTTAAAATCTATTATTTTATACATTTTAAAATCTATTATTTTATACATTTTAAAATCTATTATTTTATACATTTTAAAATCTATTATTTTATACATTTTAAAATCTATTATTTTATACATTTTAAAATCTATTATTTTCAATTTAGATATCATTTTTGTTTACCAAAAATATGGTTGTATATTGTCATCACCCAAGTTTGTCCATCCATTAGTGTTTGGCATCCACAATTGCTTGTGGTCGTTCTCGAGAGGTTAAAGCTATTGTCCGATTGACTTGAAATTTACAAACACTGTTTATGTTAATGAGTCCAATAAGTCTATGAATGATTTCTGATATATAATTTCAGTTATGTCCCTTGATCTATGTTCTTGAGATGAAAAAGCCTATAAATTTTAAACAATTTATTTTATTTTTATATTAGAGCTAGCACTGGCAAGAACTAGGAACTTAAAAAATTAGTTTTTTTCTCATAATTTCTTCATGGGTTGTTGCCCTTGATAAGGTTTAAGTATGTTGCAAATACTCCCACTGTCTTTACCTACAAAAGAATAAAAAATACACAGTCTACACTGCATGTAGTTGGACGAATTACCTGGCAACCTATCTTATTTTCAAACAGTCAAAAGATAATTTATGAGTGCTGTATAGATTGTGTTCAAAATAACCCATAAAATTCAGTCTAAATAATTTGTAACCCATACCAAATTTGATTTCAATCTCGCATAGAAAACCAAAAAGATTCATAAAATTATAGGGAATCATATGCCTGAACTTTATCCATATCTTAAATATTCAAGAATATTAACTCATCTGTGATGATATACATTTTGACCTATGGTTGCCTCGCCCACTTCCTATCTCCCGTCTTTTGAAAAGGCTGGTCCACACATGCTTAGGCGTGAGATTGCATGTACTGTATTATCTGTGCTCAGTGAATGAATCAAACTGGCTAATGCACAGACTTTTTCTACACTTGTTCCTCTCTATTCTAATTATGAATAGTTTCAAACTGAGATCCTCTCACTCACAGTCTCGTATAACAACTGTTCGTCTTCAGAAGAATTATCAGTCAGCTGAAAATAGTCTGTGTACCACTCTCTACTTTAGCCAGAATCCATTACTGCTCTCCTATATTTGTGTCAATTCCCAATTCATCAAATCTCTGTTATGGATCAAGCATAGCTGAGATCTGTGTGTTAAAATTGTATTTGAAATGTGTTGAACCAGTTAGTGGAAACCTACATTGTCCTTGAAGTATATCAAACCATGCATGATACCACTCCCTTTCCAATATATGTACAGTATTAGACAATGTGATTGCAAACATTTTAATTTTTTTTTTAAATTGCATGGCTGTATGTATGCAATTATATAAACTACAGAAGCTTAATAAAACTAATTTAGTCAAAATAGTTTTATTATCAGTGTCAAAGTTTTTTCTTCTATTAAAGATAGTGAATAACTTTATGGCATGTACATGTATAGCATGAACTGACTAAAAAGTATATTGTTACTAACCATAAAAGTACAATTAAATGCTTATTTACTGATTGATATACATATTAATAGTAAATATCTAAAATAGTTTTTAAAACAATTTTTTGCAAATTGGATTTCTTAATTTGTCACACACACATTGTGTGATGTATATGTGTGTGTGTTTTTGTATCTTAATTATAAGGGTTGATGAACAGTAGTTCTTATCAGAAACTAAAGCTAAAGCAAACTGATATTTGGATAAAAATATTATTTTCGTCTGAAAATTTCACTTATCATGGATAAAAATTTAGACCTAGACCTATAATAGTATAATACTAAGGGCTGTTACCATGGTTGCAGCCCATAACAATAATCCCACCTTTTTAACCCCCATTTACTTGTATAGAATTTACATTATTTAACAATACCCCTTTTCCTTGATTTAAATATTTCTTTTGTGAATACTTTAGATAATACATATTTGGATTTATAATAATTGTGTTTTTCTATTCCAGACTTTGATTGGTCATATTTTTGGAAATGGACAGATTTTTTAAGTTATGTAGAATTTACAGCAACTTTTATATTAGTTGTAGGAGTTTTAACATATATATTTTTAACCAATGCCATCTATGTTGAACTAATAGGATTTTTAGCAGTGTTTGCTGAGGCTATGCTGGGTACACCACAGTTTTACAGAAATTTTCAAAATAAATCAACAATAGGAATGAGGTATGTTTCATATCTTTATAATATAATTATATAGAACACACTTGTCTGTCCATCCCTTTCAACCATTCAATTTATCTTTACAAACTCTCCACACACAGCAGGTGAGTACTGAAGTGGTGCCTTCTGTTATAAAGAAATTTTTGGCATTTTAATTTTTAGTTTTCCATGCATAAAATTGGGTATTGCTTCTGAATCGAAATTGTATGGGACATTTTGAACTTTGTGCTGGACATGTACATGTATGTTAAAAAAATATAAATCAAAAATAGACAAGATCTGCAACTGATAAAATGACAGGCAGCATAGGAATAGTGTCTTTAAGGAGGGATGTTTGCCTTGGGGGCATTTTGTCCTGTATCCATGTAAGCCGGACTATATTTTTTTTAATGTCAAACACAATATATTTTTCTTGTATTTTCAGTATTAAAATGGTTGGCTTTTGGACATGTGGTGATATATTTAAGACAGGGTATTTTATATTACGTAGTGCACCACCACAGTTCTGGATATGTGGAATGTTACAAGTTTCGATAGATATGTGTATTTTACTTCAAGTTTATGTTTATAAAAGTCCCCCAGTTAAAGTATTAAAAGCCGCACAAAGTTAGTGTTTAATATATAAAAGAACTGATTTTAATCTTAGCTTTCATGTTGTGTTAACATTTTTTATACTTCAATTTCATGTTCTGTAACTGGATTCTAAGCCTAGTTTATAAATGCCTCTTATGTCTTTCTAGCTCAGTCTAATTAAAATAAGATTATATTACAATATCATTGTGACATACATGTAGGGGAGTCGGTTGACCGAATGGTTAGCACGTGTGTGCTGTATGATCAGGTCTGTCATTGAGTCAACTAGCGTGACAAGGAGTAGGGTCACTTGTCCAACCATGTGGGTTTTCTCCGGGTCCTCCCACTGCTAAAGACCCTACGCGCAAGCGAATTATTGAAATAAAATTGAATCACATGTTAGTCCCAAAATGACCTAGTTTGTGTCATTGCTCTGTCTCTCTCTCATTGTGACTTTTACCCTACACTGAAACTTAGTGTCAAGCACATCTTCAGCCTGATATTGATGTGTGTGAAATAGCTTTACCATCCATTTCCATTGAAGTGATATTGCCAATATTAATAGCAATGAGCATTGAGCATGTCAGTCAAATGATGTAATCCCCATACCACATTCTCAAACACGTTATAGGCAGTATTTCTAATTGGGTGACTCAGAGACTGAACAATGTTTTGTATAATTTATTGCTTAAGCTTAACCTTAAAGAAACATAGATGGGGACTTGTCATGTCCCTATAATATGCCCACCAGAAGCACAGTCATCTACACTAGCTCTAAAAATCATTGTGATCAAATCCTGTAGGGCAAACTGTGAACTCAGTGTCAAACTTGAACAGTTAAAATGTGAACGTAAAAGTAACTCGACACCTAACGTGTTCAAAATTTACGATCCAAAATACGTTTCTTCCTTACACCATAATAAAGTTTTAGAAATTCTATCAATAACAAACATGTATCACATTCAAAAGATTTCATCAATTTGAATGTAAACTGGGGAATATTATCTCCTTGATATCCGGTTGAAAAATTCTGAATTTGGAAAAAACAACAATTTGTTTACATGGAGGCTGCTATCTGATGTACCTTGGTTTCATATCCCACAAACCACAGACCCAAATACTGCTACAGACAAATCTGATTGGCCAATTAGTTCATATGATCTGAATGTTGTCTTCAACAGAAATATGTCATACATGTATGTCACAGTGAAGTACAACAATTAACAAAACAAATTGATATCTGATTTTAATTAGATTGTTTCTAACCATGTTTTCTTTTAAATGATCCATTATGAATAAACAATAACATAATGTAAAGTAGTATTTTTCAAAAATATTTTTCGTAAATAAAGTTTAATTTATTGGACATTTATTTAAAATGTTTCTCTTTAGAAAGAGAATTGTTGATAATTTGCAACCATGCACAAAATAGTTTGAAAATCACTAGTTTGCTTTATTATTATGATTATATATTGTGAGCTATACGTACAACCACCTGTTCATGTTAATGTATCAACATATTTTTATGTAATACTTGTTAATTGATACATGTAAATACTGACCAACCTGGTTTCTTGAAAAATATTTGAGGAAAATGATATATTTCATACCCATATATCCCTTGACAGCAAGAACTACTACTCCATATTGTAGGACTGGCTGTATATTTGTTCTTAGATATTCACATGACTCAAATTCCATTGTATCTCAACAGTAGCTCTATCTATGCACCTAACATTTGAAATTTAGACAGAGAGTCGATACTTTAAAAAAAATATATATTCTCCAAATCAAAGAAATCTAGTCATTTTCAAGTACTGTAATAGAACAATTCTATGACGACCTCAAGGAATTTTATGAGAAAATAACAGTACATTTTTGGGGTGAAAATTAATGGTGTTGATGTATCTGTATTTAAATTAGATGTGTTGACTTATTTTGTAGGAAGGTTATCTTTGTTAGACTAAAACGAAAATAAAATTAATAAATATACTGATTATCAATGAACTGATAACTTAATCATAATTTTTAAATTATATTGATAAATATATATTTATTATCTCTGCAATCATGACTTAATTTGAAGTAAACAACCACCTTAAAGATACTTTCTTGCGTACAAAGTACTACAAACTGTGTGATTTGATGATATATTTTTGACTAAAAACATACATAAACTAATTAATCTATCAAAAATTTGCTTCAAATCCCTCTCAAAACTTTGTATTTGCAGGGAGATATCTCAAGCTATAAAAGATCTATTTTTACAAGCCATGGTTGTCTCCTTGACCCATTACTAATCTTAAAACCATGACCCATTACTAATTAATTGAAAAATGCACATTTAAAAAAAATGTTTTTTTTTCCATGTTGACCAAAAATAAAAAAAAGATCTCTTTATGCTAACAGTTGATTGAATGAGCAAATTTAAGTCTGATCAAAAATGTTAACTTATATGAGTTTAATTTCTTAAAAGTTTTCATTTATTGTAGAGTTTAATACAAACATGATAATTTATTAACATTACCCTCATTATTAAAGAATAATTAAATTAATATGTTTATTTCAATTCTAATGACATAGGAATTAGATACAAAGTTTAAAAAAAAATTTGAATGATCTCATTTGTATGTACACATGTTATCTTTAGCTTACCATGTTAATTGATATTGTGCATCACAGCAATTCATATTTCTAGAGTGTAAATTTTTCATAGATCTTGCTCAATTTATAAGCTGGGTGTTTAATATACACTATAGTGATATTTTGTGCCATATTTATTGACAAGTAATAATAGTAATGGAACAACCACTGCCAGATTGTAAGATTTTATTTGGATGTACAATTCATTGTATCAAGATATTTCTTACCCCTGTGCAAATATATGCTTCATTACATAATGACAAGTTTTTACATTCAAATATACACATTTTTGACTTTTCAAATCTATGTGAACAGTCTCGCTTGTTGTGCCTTTAACTAAAACATGTAATTTTTGTAATGTTTTGTTACTGAAAATATTGAATTAATTACATTAAAACGTAGTGGCTTACTAGTACTACAAATATTATTTGTGTAACATAAAATATATAAAAGTTTCTCACCATAATTTTATATGATTACTCTTGAATAACAACCTAAAGCAGATAAAATATCCAATCCATATAATATTAATAGTACTAAGTATATTTATGTAAAATTATATAATTCAAAGCAGCATTATGGAAGATTAGATAAGAGCTGACAGTTCTCGCTATAATAGTTAAAAAATAGATAATATAACCGGAATATGTTGAAAATTTCAGTCAAATTACTTCACTTTGAGCCTAGGAATACTCATTTTAATAACACTATAGCCTCATTGGTCATTGTTACGATAATAAACAAAGTCTCAAGTCTCGATTATCCATTTTTACGGTTAATCATCAACAGCCGTTGAACAGTTGATCGGATTCAAATCTAATGAAAACTGGACTCAACAGAGGGCATCGAGAGTTGATTGTGTTAATAAATGTCTAATTAATAGTTTATATACCTGCTATAGGCAGATTTAGCTCTTATATAATGTATGATTAAGGGACCACTCTTGTGTTTCAACCTTCTGTTGTACAATTTTAAAATATTCCGAGGAACCTGTAAATACTGAAAAAAATTATATGCATTTTATTTATCAAAGAATTTTGTTTTTACATTCTTTAAAATGGTAGTTCATTCCATGAATATTTATTAATTTAAGGATAAAAAATATACTTATACAGTATTATTGATATGATATTTTGATTTACACATTCAATATATTTTTAACATTCTTTCATAACTTCCAGTGCTCCTTCTGTCAGTTGACTCGACAAAAGCAGTTTTGTAATTAAAGATATGTTCCTTTGCAGATAATAAGGCTATTCTTGTGCAACATATATCATATTTTCTTCTGACCTAGAAAATCAAAATTATCCACAAACAGTGATAAGCTCACAAAAAGAAGAATGGAATCCTCAGTGACAATTGCATGATTGGTAGACAACAATCATATTTACTTCTTGATAATTGATTCTGTGAGCTAGTGGGTATAGATTTCAAATTGCTTCCCAAAACAGACACAAAAAAGTTCAAATCCAGAGATAAATTTGATGAAAATCAATAATAATCCACTTTTTGTTTTTTTTTACAAGAATCTGTTTTTTCACTCACAACACAGACATTAGATATTTCATTCAGCTTTTGCCATTATAATTTCATCTGTATTATTATATAATGTGTTCAATACTGTTCATGCTAGTGCCAATGCACTTGAATTAGTTTAAAGACCCATTTAAAGTTTAATGACACAAAATGGCAGACATTATTGAATCCATTGAAATGGTGTACAATATTTACATGCAATCTATTAAATAACATCCATTTATTTTTTCTTATATATGGAAATAAGAGTAAAATGTACCTCAATAGTCAATAGTATAATCTGTGGATCACTAAATAGACAAGAGTGTACCAATTTGTGTATGAAATTAAACTTTACCAAAATAAAGATATTTTTAATTTTACATGGCTTTATTTTATTTTTCTTAGGGAGTGCTCGATTGTCAGTTCAGAACGTCCCGTATTGACAGAATTCCAATCAAATAATACAGAATTCAGTCCTGTCACAGTTCTGCCAGTCCTGACAGCTGCGGTGGTGTGAATAGAATCGTGACGTATTTTAAGTAACAAATATGTTTCCAGCTGCCATGATTGGTTGAGATATTTTTATGCAGTCGGCACATGAGTTGTACTCCGAAATTCTCCTTTTCACTCGATAGACACTATTTTCGGAATTGAGAGAATTTAATTCCGGATCGTTCAATCGAGTATCCCCTTACAGATTCCAAATTCATCACTGAGCCCGATTGCCAAGTAGTCAGTTCTTGAATTATTTTGGTCAGTATCTACGTAAACCTGTGTCTTTTACATGTCCTTATAATTAGAAGCTGATGCCTGCTTGTAAGGTGTCTTTCATCATCACTCTTTTGGTAAACTGTACATGTATTTATTGTCTTGATCAAAAGATGTGATGTTGTTTAATGAGTCATTCTGTAGTCTAAACTCATTTCATTATAGAACCAGAAAGATATTTTGTACTGGGAGACAAACTCCTCATCTTCACCAACAGACTCCCATATCTTAGATTTGTTTCCACTGTGGTTACTGATTCATTTTACTCATATCTTTTCTTCTATAAAATATGTCAAATAACAGAAGTAATCTGAAATTTTTAAAATAAGAATATAATTGAGAGTATCGGTATGTGGAAAATTCGTAGTATGTATTTCCATTGAATAAATTAACACACCTTCAGAAGCATAGGGATTCAGTTACCACCTCAGGTTTTCAAGGTAAACAAAATATGTTAAAAATAGGCTGGCTAGCAAAACAAATTTGGAAGTGAAAACCCTGCTGTAGAGGGTAACAATGGCAGTAATTCCCCTAAAAATCAATGCATGAATTTAATCAATATATAAAAACAAATTCATGATTAAAGAGCACTTAAAAGATTTTGGTGAGTTTGACATTGAGACTAGTTGAACATATTGATCAAAAAATTCTCAAAAACTGACCAGTAGAGCATGTACAAGACTGATAGCAATATATTCAGAAATAAAACATGGATGTGTAATTACAATATAATCCAACTTCCCGCTTCTGCTGAACACATCAGATCAACCCAATTCAAACTATATTTTTGCCTAGTTCCCTTATACAACATTACACCTTTAAATATAAGTTTATTTTCCAATAAATGTCTTATCTATGTACATATCTCGGAGAAAACTGAAGTTTAATGTTACCTTTAAATTTTGATGTAATAATATGATCATCTACTGTCCATTGTGATACTAGATTTTCAGATGTTATGTTACTATTGGTGACCAGCTCATCTATTATAAATTTCTTACTTTGATAACTAAGACAAGAGTCAAGACTAAAATAAAGTAGATTGTCACACATGCATAGAAAGTTACATTTGGACAGTAATAGATTGAGTCAAGTGGCATAGTTTTGATCCTTTTGTCTGTGATAAAGAGTGGGGTTCCTTGCCTAACCTTCTGAGTTTTCTCCAGTTTACTCCCACAGCTAAAGACCCCTATGAGCAGTTGGATTTAGTGAAATAAAACTGTACCATATATATGTTAGTCCCAAAATGACTTGGTTTATGTTGAGTGGACATTTCTCTCAGTCATAACAGTTGGTTATTTGAGATTTTAAGAAGAATAGGCATTGCCGCTGTGATCATTATGGATGGAAATCAAACAATGAGAAGTAATTCAGGCACAACACTGTTTACTTGATAACTCATATTATAAATCTTGGAAAATAATATACCAGGACATTACCAAAAATCTTTCTATGGTTAAAGGATACATTTGAAATAATAATTTTTCTGCAGTATTAAGCCATTCAACCATTTCTGTTAATGAAGGATATAAAGCTGAGGTCTTTGTCATAATATCTATGTTAAGATCTGTTGACCAATATGTTTTATATATTTTAATCACATTATGATACTGCTGTGACATCTGGGAGTGATAGTCCTTGAATTTATCACTGAAAAGATAGAAAACAACATTAAGATTATTACGTTTGACTTTAATGGAAGCATATAATTAAAAAGATATGGATGGTTACTTCACATTATAACACATCCTTTTAAGCTTTGTGCAAAAATACACAAAAGTTTACAGAAGCGTAACCACACCAGTATCTCAAAACAGTTATAAATCTGGCTACTCAGAATAATTTGCTATATCAAATTCCAAACTTAAAGATACATTATGTAAGATTTAGATAAAGAACTAGCCATTCTTGCTATAATAGTTCGAAAGTAGATGATGTAAAATGAAAAATTTGAAAATTTCATTCAAATTACTCTATTGCAAGCGAAGATATTAGCCTTTGAAGGTTTGACAGACGTGTGCAATAATTTCAACCACCGTACTGGTTGATCGAAGCTAAGTCTCGGTCCTCCATATTTGATTAAATCAAAGTATCACTGAACCATTCTAATCTATTTAATATCGGAGAAATCTGATGCCATCGAGAGATGATTGAGGCCTGGATCAGTTAATTAACGTCTAATTCAGGCCTAAAGAAAGACCTGCAATAGGCAGATTTAGCTCTTGCATAATGCATGTTTAAATCTTGTGTCCTGATCAATGAATACCTATAGCGAAAATGATTTTAGCATTTTGCCACCAGTTAATATAAGTGTTCGACAGTGTACCAATAATGCTAATTGAAGTGATAATCTTGGCCTAATCATCAAATTAATAATAATGTTATCCCCCACTTACAGATTATTTTGAAGAGATTGAATTCTCACTTCTATTTCTGCTACTATTTTATATTTTAAATGTTCCTTTAAATTTGGACATACTGTGTTGAAAGGTATATCGTCAATAGATATACGTTGGCAGCATTCATACTGTTCTAATATATTAACTAGTGACACTATTACTGGTTGGCAATCATTATTTGTGGAAGTCCATTCATTCATAACCTGCTTCAATGCCAAAAATGCCTTTTGCAGAGCTAGTTTCAGAGCTGTTTCTCCCATTCTTTAATGTATTTCTTTTATTTAAATATTCTTAACTGAAAAACAAAAACAATTGTCTATTACTATTAAATTTTCTAAAGAGATTCGATACAGACCAACAAAGAACAGGTTACGGTGATGCCATTTTAGTAACAAATTTCTTGTAGCTGATTTTTCAACTAATAGACTTAACCAGAAATGGTTCGAAGTTTATGACTGAGGTATAAAAGGCTTGCTCTCTTTTTAGTTTGTCCAAGGTAAGGAAGGGTCAAACAATCTCTCTTAAGCCATATTGCAGAGAGCAGGCAGGGCAGGCTCTCATATTGGCGTTACTAAAGTAACTAGTCAAAAGGTAGCCTAATATTACTAAATTCTAATTTTCTTAACTTGGATTACTTCCCTTGTTGGAGATTGGAATGCTTATTTTTCCGTTCCACTATCAGTGGCCTGTTCTTATTAAATCCCGCATAAAAACATGGCAATAAATACGGACTTTTGTATTATGGGTCATTAACATATTAAAACGAACTTGTAGTACCGTATTCAAAAATAATATTATAACTTGTTTTTTCTCTTTTTTTTCTTGTTGGTAAAGTTTTGACACCACGCGCTAGTCAATCAGAGTTGCCGTTCAATTGCAATATCGTCTTTTCGCCTAAGGTCCCGTAGTAAGTCACCTCGTCCCGAAAAGTTTATTTCCTGCCCGATCTCCTAAAGTTATAAACTGTGTCGATCTGCGAGAATTATAAAGTACAGGTCTGCTAATGGGGATACAACTGTTATAGATTATATATAATGACATTATGTCTATATAATGTAGATTGGGCGAAATGACCCTCCAGACAACAGTATCCTGGAGTAAAATATTATTCATCTCTGTGACTGGTTAATCCAAACTACCGTTAGATGGCGTTGTAAACCGGAATTTCAAGTTGTAAACAAGTTACAAGTTTCTAGAATTGCCAAATACATATTAAATTCCAACCCAAAACTACTAATAGAACTGTTTAAAAATAGTCACCAAGTCAGTTCGAGGTACGGTATAATGCATTATAATGTGAAAGCCTAATGTTATTTAGTTTCCAATGATCAAAATGATGCTAGTCTTAAAGTAGCTACTGTCTGAGTCTTGGTAAATTTTAAACGGATTTCTTCGATTATACTACTTAACTTTTGTTATTATAAACTTACCTGTGTGTTTGTAATCAACTCCCGTTCGATAAAATCCATTGCACAACTAATTATCACAACGATGAAAAAAAGTTCTCTCTTGAAAAATTGAAATATCACAAACTTTTCCCAGAGAAAAATACCAATATGGAAGATGGTTACGTCACTCTGCGGAAGATATCATTTCGTATTAGGGGTGACAGCATAGGAAATTCAAGTACAATTACGACAAGAATCCATGACCACTCGGACCAAAGACCACTCGGTTCAAGACCAGTCGGACCAACTGATAGACCACTCAGCCCAAACAAATAGACTACTCGGACCATACAAAAAGACTAGTCGGACCCAACAGAAAGACGACTCGGACCAATAATAAAGTGTTGTTTTAATAAATTGATAATTGCGTTTGTTTTAATATGATTAATCGAACCAATAATAAAGTGTTATTTTAATAAATTGATAATTGTGTTTATTTTAATATGACTACTCGAACCAATAATAAAGTGTTATTTGAATAAATTGCTAATTGTGTGTGTTTTAATATGACTACTCGAACTAATAATAACGTGTTGTTTGAATAAATTGATGATTGTATCCCAAATCGCAAAATATCGAGAACCACACTTCTAGTCACGTTTAAAAAGGGGCATATAAACGTCCGGTCTTCGTATTATTATGTGCTGTATATATTAACGCATCAAGGGCGGATAACTTGAAAACGTGTCTCCCCCCCATATATATAAACCCAGGGGTTAGTGGGGTAGAACGGAATGAAACCACTGGGGATACCGCGAATGTGGAAAAAGTAAAATTAGGCTATCAGATAAGAACAGTATACTCGTATATGTAGAAACTGTCAAAAGTCTGGACATACCGAGTCTCATTGCAAGAGTAAATAAGAAAAATTAGATTGATATTTTTTTTTGGCACCATTATTAATTAATTTTAAAACTAATCAGTGATTTATTTTTCATACACAAAATTGATAAACAACTCTAAATATAAGAATTCCGTATAAGAATTATTTGCTTCTTTGTATTGTGATTTAATAATAAATAAATAGCATATTGTCTAGCCTTATAATATAATTTAATTGGTCCGACTGGTCTTGTTTTGGTCCGACTGGTCTTAGTCAGAGTAGTCTTTGGTCCGAGTGGTCTGGATACCTACGACAATTGGCATTGAGTTTGAGCGTTCGCACACATAACTACCCGCATTCCTGTATTTAGTTACCGTCTTTTACATTCTAGTAAAATCTCTGCAAATTTTATAGCTTTACTTTTTGAAATATTTTGTTCTAATTATTTGATTAGCGACTCGGATGGGATAATTTACTTTTGAACACGCATGCCGCACAAACACAACTATACATTCGTTTTACGGGCTTTATCACACTTCGGTCAAAACTGTCGAATCGAGAATTAATGTTCCGCTTCTTACAGGGTCATACAGGCTTAGTAGCATTATATACCCACCCGGGCACCCAATAGACACGCTGAGGTCTGCCGCAACACGCTTAAAGATGTTACTGAAGCGGTTATTATTCGATCGAAAGAATGCGTATAAAATTAAAAATACACTCAGAGAATTCGGAGGTAAGCTTCATGATCCTAATCCTTGTTAAATTATTTATAACATAAAGAAGATAGGATATTTATAGTTTATATATGACTTTATTTTTACGAGTATCCGTGCAATCAGTGATATTTTAGTTGTGAAGAAAATTTGATAGACTGGCGATCAATGGTTTCCATATAAATCTCCTATGTAATTGCCTTCAATTGATATTTTTCGTCGCCCAAAACCCATATACGATCAAAAGGATCGCGCTGTCAAACTATCTTTCAATGTTAACCAACCCCCGCAACAGGTATATTGGATTCGACCAATACGTCACGAAGACATTGTTGACATCGACTCTGTCGAAATTACAAGTAATTTTTCAAGAGAGAAGTTGTTTTCATCGTTGTGATAATTAGTTGTGCTATGGATTTTATCGAACGGGAGTTGATTACAAACACACAGGTAAGTTTATAATAACCAAAGTTAAGTAGTTTGTTCATAATCGAAGAAATCCGTTTCAAATTTACGATGGTTCACACAGTAAGTCTCTAACTCAGTCAATATGAATATCGTCCAAAATCTTCAACATTGAAAACATGATTTATTTGTCAAATTAAATCAACATTCATGTTGTGATCTTACCGGAAAAAGATGGGCTTTTGATATCCAATATTTAAGACAAAATAAACATTTTACCATTGGTACACAAATCGTGTACCATAATGCGCTTCAGCCCCAGTTGTATCAAGAGACTCGAGGGGCGAGGCTAGACACATTGCACCAAATCAAACGGCACATGTAGACTGGAATAACCAGACGCTAGAAATTTGCACTCGCTTGAGACTGCTGGCTTATTTCGCCGAACCTAACTCATTTGAAATTGGAGTAAAACGGAAACCATTGAATGTAAATCAGTTTATATATATTCATATTACAGTATTATATGCGTTGCGACCCACTTTTGTCAATTTCTAGGTCCCAAATGTTAGCGATTTAGCTCCTTTAATATATGTTTTAGTTTACTTCAACTTGAATGATTGAACTTGGTCACAATAATAACGGCCTGAGTCTGGTCTTGACTCTTTGACTAACTACCTCTAGCATACTTTTTAACGTGTAGGCCTACCACTCATGGTTGCATATAAAAACTTAAAGGAGGTAAATCGCTAATATTTGGAACCTAGAAATTGACACACAAATGGGTCGTAACGCATATAATAACTAGAACTGCGAAGCAGTAATGACGGGTTTTACTGGTGCCATGTTACCCTTGAACTTAATATGTTACTTTTGGTGCCACGTTACTATTGAACTCATATCACTTCCAGTACCAATGGAACTGATAACCAGATTTCCACATAAACATTACAGACGTGTTGTAAAATGGACGCAGAATCAATTAAACCCGGCAATATCAATTCCATTCATACATTTGTTACCATGTGTTACATATGTCAAAAAAGTGATCCTGACAAAATTTGTTACTAAACCGCTAAGTTAGCTGACTTTCTAATGGGAAATTAAAATGCAAAAAAAATTTTAAAAAGTGATCCTGACAAAATTGGTTATTTCTCGACAAGTTATAGACATCTATATGATCGTATATATTGATTCAATCTATATATCCATTGGAGTCAAATATCATAATCTTAAACAAATAATAAATATACCTCACTTCAAACAAATGTTTGTTTTGGAGGCTAAAAATACAGTTTTTGCCAAAATGACATTACTTTCAGGAATAATGCAAATGTTAAATTAATTCTATGAAATCATAAATGGCATAAGGCACCGCACGGTGAAAATTTTATGAAAATCGAATAATAATTGCCACTTTTATAGACCAAAATCCTTGAAAAGTGACTTGTTGAAAATCGCCTATTTCTCTGCAACCATACAAGTTAAAAACCCTTTTGTGGTATCTGTATGACCGTAAGGGTTCATTCTGTTTGTTGATTGGAATCAAATATCATAATTTTATAAAACATTACAAATCCGACTCATTTGAATAAAATATCTGTTTTGTAAACATTACTACTTGCTTTTTAAAAGAACTGGCGCAAATACAAAACCGAAATTAAAAAATCTGAGTCCCGAGATTTTTTGCGCCTTTTGTAGGGGCATTTATCTTGATCTATTAGATTTGCAAAAATTAACATTTGTTAGTGAAAAGACGTTCCGACTCGTCAAAATTGGAGGTTTTAGCGAAATTGCGTCACATCCGATGCCGATAGAAAACTTTACGGGCAATAAAAAAATTGAGAATTTGCACCATGGAGCATATGAACTTTGTTTTATAAAAATCGGGCAATAAATAATTAACCTAGAACCGATAAACTGAATTGGCCAATAGCGGCCAAGAAAAATTATCGAGACAAAAAATGTTCACATTTTTGCTCAAATCAGACGACCCTTTAACCCTGGGTAAAATGCCATAAAAAAATATTCATTAATAAAAAAGTTTTTTGTCAAAATTTAAATTTTCAAAATTTGGCGTCTAATATCTCCGAAGATCCGTCGAAAATAAAAAATCTAAGGAACCCTAGCTATCTGCTATGTCTCTGGCTATGTCAAAATGTGTCAAGTGTTAAAATCCAACGATATTGTTAATATTACGGCAATATTTCAAAAAACGACAACTTTGGCGATTTCGGACATTTCACATTGTCGCAGAACGTTCGAAATAGCTTTAATCTCTAAGTCACACCCACTTTCCCAGGAAAACCGAAGACATTGAATCGATCCGACAAGTAGTTTCTTAGATATGCTCAAGTGGAAAAAAAAAAAATAATATTTATAAGAAGAATAATCCGAACAAAAACAATAGTGTTTCACACAAGCTACGCAGTGTGAAACCCTAATAATCCTCATCTCTCAACCCTCCGTGTTTTGAGATAAGAGATGGTCCTATATAGTTCCACATCGCAAAGCTTAACGCGAATCGCATCTGTATCAGTAAGCAAAATTGACAATATTTTTCATCAAAACAACGATTGATTATTGTTATTTATAATATTTCTGCCACATCCAACTACAATTAAGCATTATAATCCTACCTGAAACGGGTATTAATCATCATATTTAAAATTGAGGCATTAAGCCGTTACAAAGAACACCATTTTTAAATGGGAGATGTATGTCATATAAAAACGCTTCATTAATTTAAACGTGAATATTTGGAGTTAGGCGATAGTTGTGCCACTACATTGGCCTCTGTAAGTTTAATTGGTCATAATAGTATAAAAGTATATCTTATTTTTAAGATGTTACGTGCATTCATAAAGAAACTGATCGTAGCT